ATATGTTTATAAGATATCTCATATGTTTATAAGATATCTTATATAATATATAAGATATCTTATATAATATATGAGATATCTTATATAATTTGGTTAAGTACTGGATCAACATTGCTCCATGAATAAATGACAACTTGGCTTGCCATAAGATAGGCTCCGTATGTAAACCAGATAGGCTCCGTATGTATACAAGATAGGCTCCGTATGTATACAAGATAGGCTCCTTATGGATACAAGATAGGCTCCATATGTAGGCAATGGGCTCCATGTGTATACAAGATAAACCAGGCTGGAATGTGTTATATGTATTTTTCTGATACACAGGACTTGTTACACAGTTAAACGTTGTTATTGTTATGAAACAAGTGAAATATCTACGATACAATGACACTTTCGCGCTTTAAAACTCTAAGTTATGAATGCGCCAATTGAAGTTCTTCTATGTTTTTTTAAATGCATATTCAATGGGTGCCCCAATTCGTCAGAGCGCTTATCTGTTAAAATAAGATAATGTGCTAAAATTTGAGTTCGCTAGAATAAGTACGTTTACAGTCATTTAGTTCACATTGTCGATGTTTTATTCATTATAAAAGAGGTGATTTTTGAAGTTCTGAAAACCTGGGCCAGAGTGGGGATGTTTTTAACACCGAAACTTTATCAAAGTCGGGCATAAGCAATGTTAGCATGAAGTAAAATCTATTTTTACTACTGAAAAAATAAAGACATCTCTTTGTTTACCACATTGTTAAGTTCCCCTTTTTCACCTTGTTTTCCTACCTTACATTTTATTGTTGTTTACAGGAGCCGTTGACCTATGATAATATCCGTAATGTTGCGTACCTTGATATGGTCATCAACGAAACACTACGAATTAACCCACCGGCTACAAGGTAATCATTAGAGTATTGTCAAAATGATTTTAGGTAGGTAATATACATTTATGATAAAAACATGATGCCTTATCAGCTCGGACTCAAGTTGAATTGTATTAAATAGAGGATCTTAATGAGTGTCCATGTCATATAGAATTTATTAAACGAGTTCAATAGTTTGATATGACACAAGCATTTAGGCGAGTGTCATATTGAATATATTGAACGGGTTTACTAAATTTAATATGATATGGACACGAATGTAAGATTCTATTTATCACATAACGTTAATAGTTTAAAAACAAAAATTCAAACACAATTATGTGTTATCAGATGACTGCATATCATAGTATTGTCGTTCCGCGAAGTGCAAAGTAGTTCCCGATTACAAACAAAATAGCAGTTTAATATGCAATGAATTTAATTATAACAAAATTGACATTTCAAATGTATTCAAAATAGCAGTAAATGTAGCATGTGGTATAGTAAATAAAAGTAGTACACGTGATGATGTAGGAATACGTTCCCACGGTTTTGACCTTTAGGTTGTATTACACGTGTGTAATACCCATATGACATGGTAGAATGGGTTAGTTATATGATAAAGCAGTCATTGATTGATTTCCCTAGTATTTAAGGTGTGTCCAAAACATATCTATCCTTTAGTTGTTCACTCTAGTAATACTGTACCATCTTATCTTCATTAATTTTTGATACAACTTGAACTCTTAAATTCTGTCACTTTTAGCAGTTTTCTCCAGGTAAGAGTTATCTTATTTTTTATTTATTTTTCTCTTTTTGTGATTTCTTTTATTTCTAAATCAAATAAAAAAATAAATAAATGAGCAATCACAGACTATGTAACACAGAAAAATCACGTGATTGACAGGGATAACTCCACAGTTTTGGACACAGAGAGCAATCTAGTTCCAAGCAGCATAAAATGGAAGCCATCTGGATGCGCTGCAGTGGACCAGTTCTAAATCGAGATGAGCTCAATCGCACATCTTTGACCAAGTGTTAAACAAAGCGCAGCTAAATCGGGTCATTTCGGTACACAAAAAACAACTATTGTACTTACGCTTTCAGCGTAGCCGAAATCGACATCGATTTTGTGGACAACTCGTACACATTTTACACCTTTGTGTGCATACGCTTCACTGGTCATTTGTCTGATGAAGGTGACATTGTACATACCGTACTAGTCATCGAAACGTCACATAGAAACTCTTATTGGTTGTGTAAAAAGAACTTTTCATAATCCATAATTATCAACTTGAAGAAAATGTTTAGAAATATTGGAGTAAACTGTTTTTTTTTTAAATTTCTAACATCAATGCATTAGTTTGTAAAATATTATATCGGCATATGTTTCCCTCATAGACAGAAGCAAAACAAACATTGGTTCCAATTATTAAGTCTTTAGAACCTCTTTATCTCACTGGTTACCCTAACAGTAGTATTGACATAATATGAAGTCATGCGAAATATTTAACGTTTCTGCATCTTACAATTAGGGATAATGTCGACAGGTACAACTGGTGTCCGTCCCATTGAGACTGAAGAAGCAATATATCAGTGTTCTGCTGACTAATTGTAATTTAGTAAGTGATTCCACTTCACTTCGCATGGTACAGCCCTCACAAACCAAATCAATATCATATTATGATCTGATCTAACTTTCTTTGTAATTTTCAACGGTCTTCATATTTACTTCGTTTGGCGTGTTTTATTTACTGGGTGTGTACATATATTGCATCCGATTGACTGAATAAGATATCAATGTGCTTTTGGGGGCCTTTATAAGGCGAGGCGAAACCTTCTGTCTGAATATTCTGTCAACTCAGCACGCATTAGTAACAATATTTATATAACCAAAGACCACTTGGCTATGTGATCCAGCTAATCGTTTCTATATTGCCTATGAATTTGTTAACGATAGCAATCATCTTGCAGTGGGGTGCGTGACCACATACTAGCTTTCGTTCAGAAAAACTGACAGTGTCATTGTTAATAGTAAGATTTTTCAACTTCTGATATTTCTTAACCAATTTGCGTTGACAGTACATACAGTAAGTAATTTATGATGAACCTCTATATTTTTACATTCTAATGTTTACTTTTGATTGTTCTTTTACCATTTATAGAACGGATAGAGTCTGTCTGAAAGATACCGAGGTCAATGGCGTCAGGATTCCGGCCGGCATGCACATCAGTATCCCAATATACAGCATCCATCACGATCCGGACAACTGGGAAGATCCAGAAAAGTTCATCCCAGAAAGGTACATAATCAGGAACGCTCACAGAAATTCGCTTTTTACTCCAAAACTGATTGAACACGCAGGTTTATCATTAGCTAGTTTCCTCTGATCGTTGTGTTCCTTTCCGTTTCCCCAATATGCTGGCTACCCATAAGTGTTTTATTACCTTCGTTTATATATTCCAGTTACATTTCTTCTTAACCATTCGATATTCCGGACAATGATGTATTACTTTTGTAGTCTCGCTTCATATACAAATTAATGTCATATCAATACACCATTGTTATTGTAGGTCAGGTTACTATTTTTTTTTTCTTTTCAAATACATGTGTACTATCATAACATTGAATGCCTCTGGTAAGAGACTTTTATTCGTATTTAACCACAGATTTGAGGATAAAGATCGCCACGACCCATTGACATTTCTTCCTTTCGGATACGGACCACGGAATTGCATCGGCATGAGACTTGCCCAAATGGAACTGAAGATGTCACTTGCCAAAATCGTCCGTACTTTCCAGATTTGCGTTTGTAGCGAAACAAAGGTTAGTATTTTGCTCCCAAACACAGAATTTAAAAGCCGTCAAGCAAGTGTATCACTCAGCTATATTCACTAAAATACCGATGTAAGATAATTTAACCTTCACCCAACGATAAAGTCGAACGAAATTGGATGGTCATCCACAGTTAACAACACCACACAGTAACTGTATTATTACAACTTATAACACCACACAGTAACTGTATTATAACAGTTAACAACACCACACAGTAACTGTATTATAACATTTAACAACACCACACAGTAACGGTATTATAACAGTTAACAACACCAAACAGTAACTGTATTACAACAGTAAACAACACCTCACAGTAACTGTATTATAACATTTAACAACACCACACAGTAACTATATTATAACAGATAACAACACCACACAGAAACTATATTATAACAGTTAACAACACCACACTGTAACTGTATTATAACAGTTTACAACACCACACAGTAACTATATTATAACAGTTAACAACACCACACAGAAACTGTATTATAACAGTTAACAACACCACACAGTAACTGTATTATAACAGTGAACACCACCACACAGTAACTGTATTATAACAGTTAACAACACCACACAGTAACTTATTATAACAGTTAACAACACCACACAGTGACTGTATTATAACAGTTAACAACACCACACAGTAACTATATTATAATAGTTAACAACACCACACAGTAACTGTATTATAACAGTTAACAACACCACACAGTAACTGTATTATAACAGTTAACAACACCACACAGTAACTGTTTTACAACAACAACACACAGTAACTATATTATAACAGTTAACAACACCACACAGTAACTGTATTATTACAATGTTTTCCTTTCGATTTGAATGTCTACAGGATGTGGTTTTATTCACACAGTATGTTGCTTAACATTTTATTTTTATGTTATTATTTGTTTATGTTGGTAAATCTGTATATTCTGTTGTTTATAATTCAGATTCCTCCTGACCTCGCTACATTTTCATTGTTAAAGCCGAAAATGTCAAAACTCAAGCTGGTGGAGATCAAATAGTAGTACATCATATGGAGCTGAGCACATGTGCCCCTCTGCAGCTCTACCGCTGGTGAAAGAAATTGAACAAGATGCATATTCCCAGATTTAAAAAAAAGGAAAAAATATTCATCCAGCTTAAATAATTAATAGGCTGATGGACAAGCAGATCATTTAGTAAATATATAGCTTACTCCAGTCTAAGCTAGTAATCAATGGGCATGAGAATACACCACATGATAGGATTCACAATACAATTTATACATATTCCGTTATATTTAACGAGCAGTTAAATACATTGTACATGTACTAATTAAAGTGATTAACTGTTCAAAACACAAGTGAACCTACTGTTTGATTAATGACTTGGCGTCATATTCATTTTTTGTACATGAAACTTGATTTGATATAAGCTAAATTTTAGAATCATCTGATGATCAGAAACACATACTTTAAAAACTCGTTTAATAAAAATACGAAATGGAAACTCAATTTATATTTTCATCATATACTTGTCCAGTATATAAGCCGATGTACAAATACGATACTTGTATGACTATTTTTGACTAATTATGTTGATTACGACTCCATAACGAATTATTTTGAAAATAAAACTGTAAGTTGTTTATTTCTTCCCTTTTTTTACGTATTGATGTTTCAACAAGAGGCCCAATGGGCCTGAATCACTCACGTGGTATTAACTTCACACTTGTAATCTAAAAAGTGGACTCACATACAAATACAGGCAGAATATCAGTGTTTGATTCATAAGCACCTATTAAAAGATTTAAACATATGACGCCCATGACCTTGAATGTCGAACAAGGACATTAGGTTGAACAGAGTTTATAGTCTTCCAACCAAGCATGCAAAATATCATTACTCTGGACCTTTTGGTTATACAGAACAAATCATTTAAATATATAAACATATATTGACCACTGTGACCTTGAATATGGGCGAAGGTAATTTATTTGGACAAACTTGGTAGCCCTTCATCCCGGCATGTTAATGGCCAAATATCATCACCCTTGACCTTTTGCTTAAGAAGTAATTATAATTCAAAGGTTTTCAACATATTTGACCCCTGTGACCTTGAATATATGTCAAGGTCATTTTTTTTTTAACAAACTTGGTAGCCCTTCATCCCAAATATAATCACCCTAGGCCATTTGGTTACTGAGAAGGAGTTGTTTAGAGTAAGCCAGGTTAGCTAGTAACGGACAGTGTATTTCATAGGACAAAACGTTTATCACATGGCCATGTCCAAATATACCTTCGTTGTATACCAATCCTCGACCAACCCTTTGTAATGGCTGGCTATATAATCTCTACAACGGTTTTACCAGTGAAACATGGAAATTCTTATTTTAATCAAAATATAACACCTAATGCAAATTCAGACTTTCTCCAAATTATATCCATATTGTTTTGAGCATTTTGAAATTGGTTGCGTATTTCATTCATACTTTCAACCACAGGAAACAAACATATAGTGGAAAAGATTAAAGAAATGCATGCTTAGTCTCGTAACTAAGGATACAAAATACATGTCGTATCTGTGGATACATACTCTTTATATTGTATCTATAGATTGGAAACACACATCTTTTTCTATCTATGATACAAGAGGTAGAACACGAGGCTTCCTAAAAAAATAATTGTTTGTTTCAAAAGGAGGTAAAATGCAAAAAGACATTTATAATATATTCAATTAGTGATTTATATGAAATTTTATCTACAATTGAAGTATAACGGAAAACACAAAATTAATTCGTTTTTTTTATTATTATATCATCTCTGTTGATCACTTTAACATATACAATTCCATTTGCTAAGCCATGAATCAAAATTAAAGCATTATAAATTAAATGAATTCTTATTCACTGTCATATCTAGGCTTTTGTATTGAATGTATACATTTAATACACTCACTCATAAACATATGCAAGTGCGGGCTGGTAAATCAAATGAATACATGTTTACAAGGACAGGACACATACAGACTAGTACATGTAAATGCCATGTTTACATGTTAACACCAGATACATACAGACTAGCACATACCATGTTTACATGTTAACACCAGACACATGCAGACTAGCACATACCATGTTTTCATGTATAGGTTCTAATAAGGCACATGAAGGTTATTTTTAGGCTAGTTTATACAATGTGTAAGTGTTTATAAAGCTAGAACCTCTCATAATTATACGATAGTAAATACTTACCACCTATACACAGTACATGTTGTTTTCTTGTCCAGGTATCAAAAAAATACAAAAAAAACACAGGGTTTTAAAATATTGATTCCACGAAATTTAACCCCAACGAAAATATAGGCTTTTACAGTATACACAGGCTAGCTGTTTGGAATGTTCACATTTACCTGGACACTCACATACAGGCTCTAGTACACTCACATACAGGCTCTAGTACTAAGTACTGATCACATTTGTACACTGCAGACAGACGATGGAAATACACTGTATCACAATTTGTTCCATCCCTCACACTGAAGACAGAAATATCACAGTTTTGCAGTATTAAACATGTCATTGTATACATAAAATATTACCTATATAGCTGTACACGTATAAAATGGCAAATAATGGTGTATTATAAATACAGTATAGAATATGTTACATGTTAAATATGTCATAGTATACACATATTACCTATATAGCTGTACACATATAAAATGGCAAATAATGGTGTTGTATAAATACAGTATAGAATATGTTACATGTTAAATATGTCATAGTTTATAACCACTTTTACCTAAATAGTTATAATCTTCCAAACTTTGAAAAGAACATAATAAGTGTGTAGGATACATTTTAACATGCCACAGTTAATGTACAATTAATTTTACCCATATGGCTACAATCATCCTAACCTGACAAAGGATAGAATCAAGATATGACCTTGTTACCCTATCTAACTCTTATTACATTCATGCATGATAACATGACAATGTTTTTAATCAATGAAAGGTTCACACAGTATACTAAATAATACTAAGTTCAAGTATAATACATATACATTGTACATATATGTCATATGATTAAGTTAACTATGCCATCAATGTCAGTTGAAGCTAGTGCAATTAATTAGAAGATGATTTAAATGTTGACTATTGATCATGAAATTTTTGAAGTTTTCTTAATTTGGCACTGCAGTAAAGCATGATTTTATGAAGTTGTTCATAAGTGGCTGTGTACAAACATGTATGTACAATGAATAATAGGGATATTTGTTACATCAAATTGAGATAGCAGGTGGCATTGCTTTCATACAAGTATTTTCTATATAGGCTTATCACAATTTCAGCAAATTAGTACATCAGGGATCAATGCAACATTTAATTTGCTTCATTGAAAGTGAGTAAAAAACAATATTAAAATCGAGTTAATAATTTCATGATTCCATGGCAGTGCGAGAGGCTGCCAAAATGTCGTATCACATCACCGCAATAGTTTCTACAACATTTCAGGTTGTACCAAAATATTCTGAATACATTCAGGTTTTACATGCTGAATTATTTCAAAATCCTTTCACTCACACTTATATCCCTTTTCAGCTCCTTCTTTCTGCCCCGATGTGGAGAGGAGAGCACGCACCCTGTCAGACTCTGTTAAACAGTGACAGAGCCTCCGATGTTTGTCAAGATATCAGACTTCACAAGTGACTCAATATTGATCAGGCCACAAAGGTTTCAATGGTCAGAAAATTTCAGAAAACGTTTACACACTGTCAGGAGAATGATCATGAAGTGAACGTTTCTGTAGATGTCAATAGAAGTGTTATGTAGAAAAGAATGTTTTAAAGACGGAAGGTCACAAAAAACATTGACACGAAAAATAAGAGCTACCTGCTCAAGTACAAGTAACATTGACTGTTGGAAGGAAGGTCATCTGAAAGTTGTTAGCTGTCAGGTGAAAATGTCACCTTTTGTTATATATGACAGCACAGATCACTTTTGTTTGTGGACTATCACAATTGCACATGTGTCATAAGTCATATAGCTACCGGTAGGTGGTTGGGTGGCACAGTGGAAAGCGCACAAGTCTTTCACCAAGACAGTACTAGTCGGAGTTTGATTCCCCAATCGAATGTGAGAAGGTATTGGGTCACCTGTCCGACAATGTATGTTTTCTTTGGGTACTCCAGTTTCCTTCCACAATAAGACCTCCTGAGCACTTCCACCCAGGCCAACAAGAGTGTTAAATAAAAGTTGGAATAATTTGTTTCATAACTGTTGTGAAATAAGGAAAGTTTACATAAATCATGTACAGTAGTTGTCATGACAAGTTACGAGTCGGATGCTATGAAATGTCTTGATTACACATGTGGCACATGACACATACAATGTGGTTTGTCACACATGTGGCACATGACACATACAATGGGGTTTGTCACACATGTGGCACATGACACATACAATGTGGTTTGTCACACACATGCAAGCTGCTGTAGAGTGGGAAGGCCACACAAAAGGCACATCTTCTCTGGAACACACAGTCGGTGGAACACATGGCCTGGAACCAAACAATTCAACATGTTAATAAAATTAAAGACAGGTAAAATCTGTCGATTTCTCTCTATTAGTTAAGATTTCGAAAATTCCATATAAGGGTTAAATATAGGTGACTTCAAAGAGGTTGACAACATCATACGTTTTGGAGCCAAAGCTTGATTTCCATTCAATCTAGTGCGCTTTCAAAGCTTACTGATGGAAGAATATTCCTGAGCATTCAGAATAGGTTTAATTCTCGAGGGTCTTTATTGACATATACCTAGTAAGGAAATATCAAACATGTGTTGTGTACTCTTTTTTATTTAAACATACGAAAGTATTTAACAATGGGAATGCTTGCATAGAAATTGTGTGTATGAAATAAGGGCAGCTTTAAATTTACCATGGTATTACAAAATGTATAAAGAACGTACCACACTGGAAGGAGAGGACTCCAGGCTCCACATGGGAAACAGCCTCTGTCAGGGATAGGTTACAACACATACAACTCCTGTACAACACACAGATCAAACAATGTTAGTACATTACCAGAGAGAGTTAATGTATAGGCTGTGGTTATCTTCTCCAAACAATGTTAGTACATTACCAGAGAGAGTTAATGTATAAGCTGTGGCTATCTTCTCCAAACAATGTTAGTACATTACCAGAGAGAGTTAATGTATAAGCTGTGGCTATCTTCTCCAAACAATGTTAGTACATTACCAGAGAGAGTTAATGTATAAGCTGTGGCTATCTTCTCCAAACAATGTTAGTACATTACCAGAGAGAGTTAATGTATAAGCTGTGGCTATCTTCTCCAAACAATGTTAGTACATTACCAGAGAGAGTTAATGTATAAGCTGTGGCTATCTTCTCCAAACAATGTTAGTACATTACCAGAGAGAGTTAATGTATAAGCTGTGGCTATCTTCTCCAAACAATGTTAGTACATTACCAGAGAGAGTTAATGTATAAGCTGTGGCTATCTTCTCCAAACAATGTTAGTACATTACCAGAGAGAGTTAATGTATAAGCTGTGGCTATCTTCTCCAAACAATGTTAGTACATTACCAGAGAGAGTTAATGTATAAGCTGTGGCTATCTTCTCCAAACAATGTTAGTACATTACCAGAGAGAGTTAATGTATAAGCTGTGGCTATCTTCTCCAAACAATGTTAGTACATTACCAGAGAGAGTTAATGTATAAGCTGTGGCTATCTTCTCCAAACAATGTTAGTACATTACCAGAGAGAGTTAATGTATAAGCTGTGGCTATCTTCTCCAAACAATGTTAGTACATTACCAGAGAGAGTTAATGTATAAGCTGTGGCTATCTTCTCCAAACAATGTTAGTACATTACCAGAGAGAGTTAATGTATAAGCTGTGGCTATCTTCTCCAAACAATGTTAGTACATTACCAGAGAGAGTTAATGTATAAGCTGTGGCTATCTTCTCCAAACAATGTTAGTACATTACCATAGAGAGTTAATGTATAAGCTGAGGCTATCTTCTCCTGACTGATCGTCTCATTATTAACATTTTCTAGTCACTACAAAGACGTGACAGGAATGAAGGGCTGTGAAAGGTAGAAAATGTTCACTAAGCACTTTTTAACTTCCTTTGTTACAGATAATATTTCACAGAACTTCTGAGATGTAAATAGTTCCAAATGATGACTAATCACTTATTATATAATTCATGAAAATTCCTTTGATATAGATATTCAAGTGTGTTCATCTGTTTATGAGAGAAGTGTAAGTGTAAAAAGAACCTGGTCATCTTGACACTGATGCCCCAGTGACTCTCTGTATCCTCCTGATATCTCCCACAAGGCAGGGCAGCTTCTGGCAGGTACGTAAACTGAAACAGGAACAGTTAATACAACTAGATATTTATACAACTACGCTGACTTCAGTAAATATACTGCTCAGCTAGAAAGCTTGGGACATGTAGGAAACAATGTATTTGGAGAGATTAAAAGAATCCATCCCTGATGTGAGGTATGGATAAGGTAATTCTAACCAAAGGGATAAAATATTGAGCTCAATATTTTATTTTATTTTATTAGTATTTTATCTTATTAATTTTATATTTTATAACTATAACCCATAAAAACAGCTGCTTTTCTAGGAAAGTTGTAAACTGTCCGCATATTTTTTATTTGGATATGAAGCCGGGATGGCAATACATTGTTAATGATGTCAGTGACCCTGACTGACCCCAAAACATTAAATGATGTCAGGAACAATAGCGTGATTCTGCAAGTATGCAAGAAATACAGCTACATACTGATTAAAGTATGTATCTTATCTCCTACACTGGATGGCTAGAAGAATATAAGAAACAATGTAACTGGATATCTATACAGCTACACTGACTACACTACTCGCAAACTGGAAGGATAGAAGAATGTAAGAAATAATTCAACTGGATATCTATACAGCTACACTGACTACACTACTCCCAAACTGGAGGGCTAGAAGAATGTAAGAAATAATGTAACTGGATATCTATATACAGCTACATATACACTGACTACACTCCTCCCAAACTGGAAGGCTAGACGGATATGAAAAAAAATGTAAGTGGATATTAAAACAGCTACACTGACTTAAGTCTCTAAACCAATCAACTGAAAGGCAAAAGGAATATGTAGGGGACAATGTTACATAGTATTTCTACAGCTTCGCTGACTATAATATCAAAGTTTCTAAACATGAAGGCATGGTGGAGAGTGTACACATCTATACAATATAATCTAATACATACCAGACTATCTTTTTCCTTCTGTGAGGTAGACAGAGAGGCACCTTTAGCCATTTTCTCCTGCATCACAGAGTATCGAAGCTAGGGAATAATACAAAGTTAGAAATTAGCATAGTAAAACAACATCAGTGATATGTTATGTACATAATATGGATACCAAACCTAGAAAAACATCAATGACTCAGAGATAGTAACATAGAAAAATTGATCTAAAGATAACATTAACCCCAGCGTTTCTGGTTCACACCATCATCATTTGATTAAAGTATATACAAAATGAAAAAGCTTTTGTCCTTGGTACAAGTATATGCTAGATATTTTGAGATAGCTAATGGATCAATTGCAAAATGTAGGTTAGGAGTACTGATGAATGTTGCACACAAACAACTGTATGTTGAGATAATGAGAACATTTCCTTAAATATTTGATAGACTTAACTTTCAGAATGTACAGGTGCACAAAAATAGTAAAAGCTTTATCAAACATCACATGATCATACGGCTGATATAAACACACTGTTGAATCTGATGACAGTACAAACTACTACATTTATGGGAAGTGGTATGATACAGTTTACCAGGTTTATTTATATGATGGCAGTTGATTTCCATGTTAAAGGGAAAATATGGAGACAATAAGACAACCAAGATACTGGGAAGAGTGATGAAAAATTAGGAATTATGTTAACAAATACAATGCTGTAATATATTAATATGTCACAGGACAGTCTGTCTGATGTTCAAACATAATGATATCTGATGGTGATAAAGTCTACAAAATCACAAAGGAAAGTGACATAAACTGTGGGACAAGTTTCCTTAATAACATCATGAGTATGGATAATTGACTGGCTCTGATCTCAGAATTTTGTTTATCATTAACATACTGTAGGTATGTAGCTGATGTGTTGGTCGTGTATGTACGCATATTAATACCTCTGGCATCAGGGTAGTAGGTTTCTTGGCCCACAGGTAAGAGTCCAGCTTCTCTAGCAGGTTATGTGTCACATTTCTACAACACCACAGCAAGAAGTTTTACTAACAAAGCTTTATCAAGATTATAACACCCTATTATGTAAAAGTACAAAACTTAGACCCACAAAAACAAGGGTACATGGGACTCGTCAGAAAGAATTTTTATATAGTTAGCTAAAGGTCATTATAATGAAACTTTTAGGATTTGTTTAAGCTTTTACAAAACAAAACAAAAAAGGAATGAAACTCTGCCAAGTGTACCCAAGTATAGTATATACTTATAGAAACAAGTTTATCAGTAGGAAGTAGTTTTGGTATATCTGCTAGTAATGACCATGTTACATGGAACAAAGGCAAAGTAATGTGAATAATCTATATATACAGCCCCCCGCGAGACCTGATTTCAGTATACAGCACTCTGCCATCCCAAGAGGTACTCTCATACAAAATCTAGCAATAGTAGGTAAGGGTATACAAGCTTAACCCGGGACGAGAACACGTAGAGTGAAGAAAGGGTCTTTCTGTATACAATGTATTGCAGAACACAGGAACTGATTTATGTATGTGGTATTCTGCCATTCCACAAGGTATTCACAAACAAAGTTTGGCAAATATAGTTGAAAAGAGTAAATGAAATATGCCCTAGAAGAAAAGATGAGGCTGAGGGATAACTCTACTTTTAGTGTGACACAAGACCCCATTTCAGTATGCAGCACTCCACTATTCCAAGAAGTACTCGCATGAAAACAGGCATATAAAAAGATGATTTTTGAGTCTATGTGATGAGATGAAAGTTAAACTTTGATATTTCTTGTCTTGAAACTTTCTCAATTATATACCTTAAAAATATATCTCAATTACGTTATTTTACATTGATACAATTAGTTAAAGCAATTTTTTATCAAGAAGTCCCATACAATATATGAAGTTGAACGATGGACTGTGCTAAAATGGATCTACAGCATGACACTGACCGTTTGGTTCTGTTCAGTAACATGGTAACTACGGCCGACTGATGGAAGTAAGAAGACATTTTCCCCTTTGGTATGTCACATTCCTGGAGAATGGTTACTGTGGCAACAGGTCCAAGGTGGCACAACATCAATGAAGTAAAGTCGTCCCATGATATACAACTAGGGCTGCTATAATCTCCTTCACAGGGTACATTGTCTCTGTCAGTATGGGAACAGGTAAGTTGATTACCTTCATCAAACAAATGTTCTGTTGTGCGGTGACTTGATCTATTATCTGAAATGTTTCCGGAGCTTCTACCATTACGTGTGTCTGCTGCAAACTCTGTTAAATTTTTACTTACTTCTAAATCTTGATTCTCAAAATTGTCTTTTGGCACATTCCCTCCATTTTTCAGATAACTCAGATCATCACAATTGTCTTTTGACACATTCCCTTTTGGAAGACTAAAGTTAACCGAGTTGTCCATCTGATCTACTACATCGTCACAGTTTTCTTTTGACACATCCCCTTTACCGACCTGTTGACCTTTGAGCAACACTCTAGTGCGGACACCAGACCATCGAGACTGGTACTGTTTGTGTAATGTCTGCACCACGAAAGTCCACTCCTGTTCTGTCTGAGGCATGTAGTCTGTAATCAGTAAATTGCAAGTTAGAATAGAAAAAAAAAGAGATTTATTTCAAATTTTCAATCCAGAAATGATTCCAACTCAACATACCAGAAATGCTTTTTTTTGGAAATATCAATTGAATTGTATATAAGCCTAGTTTTAAAGTACTTGGTACCCCAAGCTGTAGAAGGCACACTATTTTTTTTCAAGACATCGACAGGGGAATAATTTTAATTAACTGAGGAATGAAGACTTTTTTTCTGGTTATATTGTATAAACCTGAAAAAATATGTGCTCTTTAAACAGATTACACAAAGCAGGGGATACTGTCTCTTTTTCAGGTTTAAAAAGCATAGCCAGAAAAAATCTTGAACATTCCTTATAATTTACTTTATAATATAAATTGTTATTAATTTCATTTTAGCAAAAGCACATAGTGTACAATTACTTTTTTACACATGCATTATAATTATTATCTGACTAATTAGTAATAAATAATTCAGACATTATATGCATGTTGGTGATATTTGAGTCATAGCACATATTAAACCTCCAAGGGAAAGAATATTTTAAATAGACAAAATGAAATTACTGAATGATGCATATAATGCTAATTTTGCCTCAAAATATCAATCTACCATATAGTAACTGAATATTCTGTCTTCCTATACGTAGACTATATACTTTTTAGATAAAGCAGCACTATATAAATATTTATGCATAAAAAACTCAGTAATAATAAAGGTCCAAATTAAAACCCAGATAAGTTCAACATTTATTATTTAGGCATATGGGTACTATATATTTAAGCATATGGGTACATTCGCATATCCGGTTGAAACGGTTGAATCGGTTGAACCTGTAAAGAAAACGACAGGTACAGATCTGAACCGAGGCCGACCTCAGGAAAATTTGGCACGTGTAGATTGAGGGGTCCAGACATACCTGACCTAAACTAAAATGCTGACTATTGCTAGTTGGCGTTATTTCTTTCTAAAACAATGTCAAGCCACATGTACAGTAGTGTTTTTCAACCGGGAAACGCGAATGTAGCCTAGGTATTGCGAATGAATTGCAAGGTTTAGAAAAAGAATGAAGTTGATAAAATCCAACACATATCTGTTTAAGAAATGTATAACCTTACAACAATGGATTGATGCCACTTACTGTGTTTGTTACCAAACAGGTCAATGTCCCCTAGCAGTATAACTGTAGCTAGGACTTCCTTCCGGCTTTGTAGTTGCTGCAGTAACCGTAGATAACCTATCCAAAAACTGTACATAACACATAATTATAAACATGTCTCCTCTCTTTCAAAAACACTATTTATACACATGAATTATATCCCAAGTAAATTGAGACATCATTATCTGCTACCAATCAGAGACATTTAAATTGAGGCCCTTTATCAGTCTTCTGTCTGTTAAGTGAATGGTCCTGAGACTTAATGCATATAAAATACTAGAAAATGTCTGTAAGACATGAATGTCCCCGTCACCATGTGAAATTAGTTTCAGTGTTTGATGTTCTATAAATAGTCACAACCACTTTGATCAGGGGGGGAATACGACGCGGTGGGACATACATGGGCAACACTATATATGCGCCCCCCCCCCCCCCCCCCCATTTTATGGCAGGGGTAAAATAAATCTGCAGAATTCATAACAAGGATTCATCTGTATGCAATGGCCACTACAGAGGTTTCTCACTTCAGAACCGTACCTGAGCAATTCAGAGTTCTAACCCAGGAAACTTACCCTGAGGACTGTACAAGCCCCAGAAATTCCTTTCTCTCTGTATCATCTGCTGCTGAATTTAGGACATGGAGTATGAACTCTGTTTTATTCCAATTTGCTAAATGACTTCCTGGTCTGAAATTATTAAAAAAACACAATATATATATTTCAACAATTAATATATACAGATTTCAAATCAGAAACAATGTCTGAGCCTAGTGTCTGAACCTCCACTTATACTTGTAATATAAACTGCTGCACTTGTACCTGGCATTAACTCAAATTTGTATAAACCATCACCTGGTATAAATTATCACACCTGGTGTTGATCTCTTCCTACCTGGTTAACTCAACCGTAAAGTTACATTTACTACGCAGATACTGTAACGTTCAAGCTTAATGAATATTCCACAAAAGAGGGGGAGGAGTTGTCTACCTTGGGACGTTGTCCTTCAAAGTCAGTTCTGTGGCTGGTTTGTTCTCGACCAACAACATCTCAAGCCATTTGAGGCGGACAAGGGGATGGCCATACACCGAATCACTATATCTGAAAAACAGTAATAAAATATACTTCATACAGCCTGCATGTGCTCAAGCCCTAAATCTTGCGATTGGATCATGAGTATTAACACACGACCCTTACATTTTTAAAGAGTTTTTTTTACGGTACCCTAGCATAATCTATTACTTACCTGTTGGTTATCGTGATGTCACCGACCCTAGCATACAAAGTACTTACCTGTTGGTTGTCATGACGTCACTGACCCTGGCGTACATGAAGGGAGAGAAACACTGGCTGACAGACTGGCTGTGGTATTGACACATGAAGTACACGTCGAGGGGCTGTATGTGGGGACTGTCGTGACAAACCTCTAAAGCTTGGTCTCTATTCTCCTCAAATAACCTGCAAATGTACAAGTAATCAGTCTTAGGATTGTTTTTTTCTGTCAGAGTGTTTCAACTTTCAGTAGCACTATATCCACACTTAAGGGGTAGGTTGGTCTGACCTAATAAAGACTTGATCAATCACAATTCAGTAGTACATGGGGTTTTTTCAAGAGTGAACACGATTAGGGTTAGGCTAATAATTTTACTTGACCAATAGTTGAACATATGACTACAGACAAGGGAACCTGAATTTTTGACAAAATTACTGTGTTTGATCATAACATGATCAAGTTAATTCTCACTAGTCATATATTAGACTTGACTGAAAGTTACTAAATCATGTTATTACTTGATAACATAGGACAGAACTTTCTCTGCACTGTAGTTTCCTGTTCTCAAGATGTCTACAGCGTAATGGACCTCCTTATTCATCAACTTCACAAAAAACGTGTCATTCTTGTAAAACTCTAAAAAAAAAAAAAAACATGATCATATATCACAATCTTTATTTTAAATTTAAATATTCCCTGAAAAGAAATCTTATTTTAAATTTAAATATTCCCTGAAAAGAAATCTTAAGTGTACAAGCACATACATTTTAAATGTCTCATTGAATTTACTTTTTCTTCTTTGTTTTAAAATCATGATCAGGAATATTTGAACAACGGACACTTTTTTTGCTTTTGTAATTTAAAGTCCCTTTTTAGCACAATCAAAATATCAATTTGTGAGAATGAAGTGACAGCCAGTACTATACAACAAGAGGCCCAATGGGACTGCATCGCTCACCTGGTATTGATATGACAATTGTAACCTAAAACGTGGATAAAATTAAAGCTACAGGCAAAATATCAGTCTTGTCTAAAAGTCATTCAAAAGGAGCTGTTCAAAGATTTCAACATATTTGACCCATGTAAATATGGTTGAATGAAGGTCATTCATTTGAACAAACTTGGTAACCCTTCGTGCCTGCATGTAACTAGCCAAATATCATCCTGGACATTTTGGTTATTCAGAAGAAGTTGTTTAAAGGTGTTTCAAGACAATTGACCCCTGTGACCTTTAATATGGGTAAAGATAATTCATTTGAACAAACTTGGTTGCCCTTCATGTTTCTGGTCATATATCATCACCAGGACCGTTTGATTATGTGATCATGACCTTGAATATGGCTGAAGGTCATTCATTTGAACAAAGTTAGTAGCCTTTCATCCCAGAATGTTCTGGCCAATTATCATCACCCTAGGCCTCTTGGTTATTAAGAAGAAGTTGTTTAAAGTAAAATCTTGATGCCAGAAGACAGACGGACGATGGAAGCTGTGCTACATCATAAGCTCACTAGGCCCTTTGGTCCAGGTGAGCTAACAACAGGGATATTACACCTGATAGAAATACTCAAGGCCTTCGTGCTCTAGTGTATTGCAGATCAAAGAAACAGTTTTCTAGGCCACATAACAGTAAGGTTTAGTTACTGCAAGACCTACAACAAACAGGCTGATTTGTACTATGTGCCTAGACTGGTCTATGTTGCCCTACATGTAGTTGATTTCACATGAACTTACCATGTAAACATCTGACATAGGTACACCAGAACTGAAACAGGTTTCCTTGGTAAGTATGTATATTTTCCTGTATTCTACGGAAGTCCAGCAGAAAACAGTAATTCTGCATAAATGTAAAAATATCCTCAACAGGTGAATCCTGTCCCCTGACAGACAGATCCTTGTCTATGGAATGTCCCAAGTCCTGGAATGAGGTCGGCTGCCGTGGAGTATTTGAAAGTAAACCATTATCACAAACTTTGGAATTTTCTTCCCTAGACTGTTGCATAAACATATCATCCTTGGTTCTCAAAGAGTCTGAGGGAATATCCTTATTGTTGTCAATACAGTTTTTAGTTGTTGAAGGTTTGGAATGCACAGACACATCACCATAGCAACCAGCCATGAAACAGGCCAACGCTAGATCAGCAACATTGTGAAAGAGGTCATCTGGCATGTTAAATGGGTCATTACAATGGATACTGTCACTCACTTGGTAAGCTAATTCCGCGAGACACACCTCCGAGCAAGGTTTACCAGGTGATTGCATTATTTGATCTGTGACTTTTTCATGTTGTCCACTGGTGTCTACAAAGCATGTGTCACTGTTAAGTGATTGACCGGTTGTCTGTCCACCACTTTCTGTATTTGACCAACATTCTGTCCACCTGTCTGCACTGTAAGGATCTAAAGTTTCCTTCCCTTCTTCCTGCAATTCTTCTTCCTTCACAACACCTAAACTCTTTCTATCCAGTGATTTGTGCTGTACTTCACCCAAAGTAGTGCTGTCTGTTGAGATCTTTGCTAGCCGGTCTGTGTAAAGTTCTGTGTGTAAAACGTGTAGCGTACGGTTTAATTCCACCACCCAGCTTGTCAGTGTGTCCTTTACAGCCACAGCATTCAACACCACATCAGTGTCCTGTAGTGCCTTCAGCGTTGTCTCAGTCTTTGTCATTAACTCAGATAAATCTACCAGTGGTTTCAGCTCTGGTTTCTCTTCTTGTTCAGAACTGTTCTCCACAATGCTGCCAAAGCCTAATTTTCCCTGTAATGAAGTGTTAAATATCCTGTTACTTGAACCTCAGACAATCTGTACAATTTCATACTTATATTCAGGAACATTTTAGCTGATGTTTCACAAGTCAGAAAATTCACCATTATGCAACAATTTAAGTTTGATATGTACAGGTTTAATTCTGGTAACAAATACCGATATGAATATTTTACAAGTGGCAGAAGTTTGGGAGAAATGTTGCTTTTTAAACAGTAATACATACACACCTTATTCGGTACAGAGTCCATTGTGAGAAGGTCCTCGGAGGAAAGAGACTTTGACAGGACGTTCATGGTGGAGAGGTCATCATTAGAGGGAGATTTAGACAGCGATGTCTTCTCCTTAATTGTCTTCAGTAACTTCCTCTTGGTCACCGTGAACTTGGACTGCAAACTAAATTATTAGCATTTTAGAGAAAAACATTTTTATCTTCTAAATCAGATGAAAAATAGGATGTCAGTCTCAACAAATATTCTACCATTCTAATCTTTAAAATTTGAGTGTACCCAGATATTATACCCATACAAACACCTGTATTTAACATAAATGCATATTTTTAACAATAATTTTATTAAATTATATCTTTTTCCAGTCACCAACCTGGCAGTCAGATTCCTAATGTTGTACTAGAAGATTAGAGGGAGAAGTTGATGGAAGAGCTCCTAGATTAGTTCATGCTTTCAATGATGAAAGATGCCAAGTTTGCAACAACAAACTAAAATTATGTAACGTCACTGTATCCAAATCGGGACACTTTTTAGATGAGTATCAATGTTCTTTTTACCATACTATCAGTTCCAAAAGTGTTTGTTCATTTTTCATAGATAATTACTATCCACTTTTCATTTCTATCACAACTTAAATACAATTAAATTGTCATAAAAGTATTATCTAATGAAAACTGTAGAAATAAAAGTACTTCTTTGCATTGAGTGACATTTTCTTGGGTTGTTTTCCCATAAGTGTCCCGTTCTGGGTAAAGTGGCAGTACAGAAAAAAAAGTATTTTGAAAGGAGAAAATGTTGGAAAAAATAAGTGTGTGAAAGGATTTGTTTCATTTGTTTGAAAAAGCTTACTAAATCTTACCAGAAGACACAACATATGTAAGGCCGTGAAGAAGAAAAAATATTTAATTATACGCTATTTGTCATGCATTATCACCACCACAGAATTTACCGATGGGGGTCAGGACCCCGGGCCCATTGGGAGATTGAGAGGTAAGCAGGTTTGCTCTTATCACAGTTGTTTTCTAAAAACAACTTTGACTGTATCAATTCGAAGGATTTAAGAAGCTAAAATACTTCCACTGTAGGAAGTTGAGTAAAGGAGTAATTACCTATCCTTCATACTGCTGAGTGATACTTTAGGAGAGGAGCCAGCTGTGTGACTGTTTCCTGTTGGTCCCTCCCATGACTGACTGAGCGGACTCTGAGAGGGGGACGACCCAAGACTGCTGGAGTCAAAACTAGAGGTCAGGTCAGCATGCTTTCTTTCATAACTGTTTGAGAACTCAGCTTGTTTACTGTCGTAACTATTTGAGAACTCTGCCTCTTTTCCTTCACTGCTACCGTTGAGAGTTGAGTGGCGTCTGTCTCCAGTGTTTTTCTGAGGAGCACTATGAGCTGACATGAGGCTGCTGGCAATGTCTGACTCACTTTTCACCTTTATCATTCCATCAGGCTTTCTGTAACATCATCAGAAATAAACTACTTTAGATGTGTCCAATTAACCAATTTCCTTTGTTTCAACAACTGAACCTAAATTGACAGGTGTTTTAGGTATACCTATGAGACAGTTTTGTGTATAAATTTTTAATCTAATCACATATGAATAGTATCTAGAAAAAGATTATTTTTTATTAAAGAAATAAACCTTATGAATAGTTTTTTTAATCTCATAAAAACAAATTCATTATATTTATTTAACATTGGTATAGTCACAGGAAAATTACTCTTAGGCATGTAAGATTACTGTCAATTATATAAACAGGGCAAACATTAAAGACTCATTTCCATCACTGAAAAAGCTATAAATTATTACAAATCACTAAAATTACAAAAGACAAACCATTAAATGGGCACATCAACCAATACAAAAACTGTTAGACTTGTAAACTGCATCATATTTACATAATTAAACAATCAAAATACCGAGAACATGGACATAGAATGACAGAATGACTGTTGCTGTTAACTTGACGTGGCATAAGGGAGAGGACCATTCAACCTCTGGAGAACATAAGGGTGAGGACAATTCAACCCCTGGCAAACATAAGGGTGAGGACCATTCAACCCCTGGCGAACATAAGGGTGAGGACCATTCAACCCCTGGCAAACATAAGGGAGAGGACCATTCAACCTCTGGAGAACATAAGGGTGAGGACAATTCAACCCCTGGCAAACATAAGGGTGAGGACCATTCAACCTCTGGAGAACATCAGGGTGAGGACCATTCAACCCCTGGCAAACATAAGGGTGAGGACCATTCAACCCCTCGCAAACATAAGGGTGAGGAACATTCAATCCCTGGCGAACATTAGGGTGAGGACCATTCAATCCCTGGTGAACATAAGGGTGAGGACCATTCAGCCCCTGGAGAACATAAGGGTGAGGACCATTCAATCCCTGGTGAACATAAGGGTGAGGACCATTCAACCCCTGGCAAACATAAGTGTGAGGACCATTCAACCTCTGGAGAACATAAGGGTGAGGACCATTCAATCCCTGGTGAACATAAGGGTGAGGACCATTCAACCCCTGGCAAACATAAGGGTGAGGACCATTCAACCCCTGGAAAACATAAGGGTGAGGACCATTCAACCCCTGGAAAACATAAGGGTGAGGACCATTCAACCCCTGGCAAACATAAGGGAGAGGACCATTCAACCTCTGGCGAACATAAGGGTGAGGACCATTCAACCCCTGGCAAACATAAGGGGGAGGACCATTCAACCTCTGGAGAACATAAGGGTGAGGACCATTCAACCCCTGGCAAACATAAGGGAGAGGACCATTCAACCTCTGGAGAACATAAGGGTGAGGACCATTCAACCTCTGGAGAACATCAGGGTGAGGACCATTCAACCCCTGGCAAACATAAGGGGGAGGACCATTCAACCTCTGGAGAACATAAGGGTGAGGACAATTCAACCCCTGGCAAACATAAGGGTGAGGACCATTCAACCTCTGGCAAACATAAGGGTGAGGACCATTCAACCCCTGGCAAACCTAAGGGTGAGGACCATTCAACCTCTGGAGAACATCAGGGTGAGGACCATTCAACCCCTGGCAAACATAAGGGTGAGGACCATTCAACCCCTCGCAAACATAAGGGTGAGGACCATTCAATCCCTGGCGAACATTAGGGTGAGGACCATTCAATCCCTGGCAAACGTAAGGGTGAGGACCATTCAATCCCTGGTGAACATAAGGGTGAGGACCATTCAATCCCTGGCGAACATAAGGGTGTGGACCATTCAAGGTTGAACATAGAGTGTCTCCTGCTATTTACTTAAAAGAAAATCTGAAAAGTTCATATTTAAATGAGATGTTTTAAACCTCATCTACCAAAACACCAAAGTACCTTAGTGCTGCCACCAGGGAATGTGACAACAGATTAACAGTTATACACACCTGCCATTGGACAGAGTCCCATTGTTCAGTGGTTTAGAGGATGATACCAAGACAGGATTAAGGTCACCTTCTGTCGTCACACTGTGTGAAGACCTTGAACCAGAACTGGACAGCTTGACATCCGACAAAGGAGTTGTCTCACTTTCTACAACATTCTGTGTTGGATTTGTAATTAAGTCTCCAGTCTCCTCAGCAAAAATGTCATCCTTATAGATGTCCAGGGAAACTGCCTTCTTTAATAAGGAATCTGTGGAACAACAGTTATTTTATAGTATTTATACAATTTCTATCCATGATGAATGTTTTCATGCCCAGACGTTTTATCTATAGATCAACCAATGCTACAAAAACCCATAAACATATTACAAATGACTACATATTAAAACAATGTTGTTCCTACAAACGAAATGTTTTCTCGTGGTCAAAGCCTTTGGGATAAGTTTCTGTTTAAAATCACAGAAACACTTTTCCCACTTTAATCCTCCTTCACAAACAGTTTTTTTTGTCACATATTTTAATCACATGTTTGTGAATAACAAGAGGCCCAATGGGCCTGCATGGCTCACCTTGTATTAATCTCACAATTGTAACCTTTTAAGTTGACTTAAATAAAGCTACAGGCAAAATATCACTACTTTTTTTTTATTGAGAAGATGACTTTTCAAGATGTACCCGGGGTATACACAATTGACCTGATGAGACCTTGAAAGTGTGTCAAGGTCATTCACATGAACAAACTTAGTAGCCCTTCATGCCTGCATGTTACTAGCCAAATATCATCACCCAGGATATTTCGGTTATTCAGAAGAAGTCGTTTAAAGGTTCTTTTAAGACAATTGACCCCTGTGACCTTAAATATGATTGAAGGTAATTTGTTTGAACAAACTTGGTAGCCCTTCATCCCAGTATGCTTCTGGCAACATATCATCACCCTAGGCCCTTTGGTTAGTAAGAAGAAGTTTTTTTAAGTGAAATTTTGACGTTGGACGCCACACCATGGCATAAGCTCACTAAACCCTTTGGTACATTTTCCCAATCTCCATGTACACATGACCTAATTAGCTATTTTATGTGAGGACAGTAAACACAAAACCTCCACTTTGTTGCAATACATCATATTGACTGGCACACTGTTTTCTTTACTTTTGACATAAGCTAGTAGAGGCTCTTGAGTTTAAAGCATCAGTGTACTGATAAGGGTCTGGACTTTTCTGCTTTTACAATTCTTATTCTGTGGTGAGTGATAAATGACTGAACTCTATATAGTTTCTTAAGATATTGCTGTCGGAGGATTGAGGAAAGTCAGCACACTGTACTATATTTTGGACCTGCCACACCGTCAATGTACTACCTGTGTCCTTTCTTCCCCCCTCAATTATACTGGTGCTTAATGAACGCTTCATCCCTCCACCAGACTTGGTACCTAAAACCAGATACATGCATTACGTTAATTTTACGTTAATTTAAAAAAAAAATCAATCATATTAATACTTCTGGTCAACTTTTTTCCCCCACTAGGGATGGTAGCCTATTTACAGTCAAATACAGTAATTTTTATCTCTACTGATTGGTACATCAAGAATCTGTTCCTTCCAATCTTAAGAACAATTTGTGTAATGAATTGAGACTTGAGATCAACTGTATCATTTTGATACATTGCTTAATATTCGATATTTGTACGCAACGTAATATAGACCTAAATCTAGCACAACACATTAAGACAGCACAATATATATGTATCAGTAAAAATCCTTGCAAAAGAAACGTTATTCGAAAAATGTCAACTTGCTTTACAGATATTATATTTATATATGATAAAGTTGTTATTGATTAATTTCACATCCAGTTTTGCTGCAATAAACCTGAGTATATACCAATTTTTATTTAATTAGCAATATACCTTCATAGATATATTCTGTAATATTTATTTTATATCTATTTGTTCAGCTGATTAGGCTAACACAACCAGAATACCTATTTAAGGACGTAATAAATATGGTACAGATATATATATCGACATGCTGAAAGCTGAACCTCAAAACATGCTACCCATTTAATGTAAGTCTGAATGAAAGAAATACTAATTTCATTTTGAATAATTTTGAAAAGTCTACAAATTATGACAGACATATTAAAATCAGATCACTTATAAATCCACAAGGGCAGTGGCACACCAGTCTGTATGTGTGTATTAAGTATTAGTTAAAGAAGTAATATTAACGGTAATTTCAAGAATAACACTGGATCCTAGCTCGCACACACACACACACACAGTATCAGTGGTTAACGATAGCGCTAGATTATACTGTTTTCAAAATATTTTAGCTATATCCTATTTTATTTCCAATATTGTTTTGATGTAATGTTATTTTTTTTTATTTTTTTTATTTGTCTCGATAAAGGAGCAGATTGCTCCGAAAATTTGACAACATCATATTGTCTATACACTGTAAGAATTACTTCCTTGCCTCATATGAGTATTATGTATTACATAATTATACAAAATGTTGGGTGGGGATATAAACATGTTTAGCTCCTTTGATTTAATCTCACAAGATCTGTACAGATAGGAGACAATTCAAGAGATACAAGCTGAAAAGTCATGTCAGTAAACACACACATATTTTCTACCATGACATACTAGTCAGTACCAACCTTTCTGTACAAGCTTATTTTTGTTCCCCTTGCTGGGAATTCCAAGATCCACAGTTTTAACTCGTCTCTTTGTCTTCCCTCTCCCTAGAGAAGTGGATGCCTCCATACTCGGACTCTTTGCCACCACTGGGGCGAGATCTGTAAGAATAAGATAAATTTGAGATTGTTTTTGTTCTTGCATTTTTTTTGGGGAAAAAAAAAGTATTCGTCGTCTCTTAGTTCCAAAGAAGAAGTCGCTTAAAGCAATATAGGCAAATTGCCCCCTTTTGGCCACGCCCCTCAGCCCCCTGGGGGGTCAGCCCCACCATTTGTACAATTTTGTATCCCTACCACCTAGGAATGCTTCCAGTCAAATTTGGTTAAATTCCAATCAGTGGTTAAGAAGAAGAAGTCGTTTAAAGAAATTGTTGACGGACGGACGACGGCACAACGGTATGGCATAAGCTCACTTTGGTCCTTCGAACCCGGTGAGCTAAAAATAAAATTGATTTCAGAATAATTTAGTCTGTTACAGAGCATTTTAAAAACCTCTCTCATGTATCCATATACAAATGATCAACGACACACTTGTAGATTTTCGGGCATAAAATGATAAGATAGGTGTATGGGGTTTTATTTAAAGTTTAAAAACCATCAGCTGGAAATATTCACCGTGATGACATCACTAGCCATCAATGATTCTTACAAATGAAGATAACAACCATCATTTCCCATTTTCACTCAAATGAAAGTCGTGAGAAATCAGAAAATTTCCTATATCTTGATACTAGTATATGACACATACCCATTTAAAATATACAGCAACCAAATAGTGATGCAATCAATGCATTAATGTCAGTAGGAAATGAACTGTAAACCAGACCCACAATGAGATTTAATTGATATTTTATTTTGAAAATGTAGTTAAAATTCTCCGACCAACACCAACCTTCGTCGTTTTGCTGGATCTTATGTGATTCGACTTGCACAATGCCGTCTATATCATCTCCTGTAGGAGGGGTAGCTACATCATCATGGTTATTATCCGCATGAAGAAAGACTCTTTTAATCTCTGATGATGTCTCACCATTTCTGTCTCTGTCAATATCAATGCCAAGGTCACAGCTAGGGTCAAGGTCACATGTGGAGTCCAGGTTACCATCACAAATCTCATCCTTGTCTCCTACCTTGACAACATGTTTGTCTAACATGTCCTCATCAGATCCTTGTGACCTTGACCTAGTTTGTGGTTTACCTATATGTATTTCCTCGGATATATTTTGTTGTTCCTGCACAATTTCAGTATCACTAGGACAATTATTACTAGCACCATTATCATGTTGGATCTCATCTTTCTGAACAAAACTTTCATTATCAGGAGGAAGGTTTGTTGTTGAAACATCTGTATTGTCTATATCACCATCAGTAACTGTGGCAACACCATTTAAGATGTCTTCCTCTGTTGATTCCCTTCTGAATGTGCTCATGATCCTGTTGTAACTCTGAACAGAAGCAGAACTACTCGACCTGCTCCTGTTAGACTCGGAACTGCCATCATCATCTGAGTAATCAGCACTTTCTTTTTTTATGATTTCAACCATAAAATTGTTGTATACTTGCTCCAGGTCTGTTCCCTTGATCTGCTGCTGAAGGACCTGTAACCTTTCCATTGATAAATGTTTACGCCACTTTCCCTGGAGGAGTACCTCCTGAAATTTGCAGCAAATATCTGCGGCCAGTGTCACATTTTTCTTCTGGAGGATGGAGACCACTTGTGACACAGAAAACATTTGGATCCTCCGTACCTCACCACTCGTAAGAAACAGGTACATGTCACTTTTCACTGTGCAAAGGTCCTTGATGCCTGAAATCATAAAGTAATGTGGTGGGATGCTATATGTATTTACAGACATTCTGCTTGTTAAATTCAATGGTCTGCAAACATAAAGACCACTGTCAAAAGATGCCTGTTGTTTATTTTAAATTTAATCTGAAATTTTAATATGTGCATTTCATATGGTTTCCTCCTATTTGACCAAATTTTTCATAGAAAATCAATTCAGTCTTTCCTAAAAATTATGTTTGCCAGCTGTCTCAACTTTGTTTGTGATGGTTATTAAAATATACATCAATAAATTGCACATTACTAGATTATTTGAGAGCCTACACAAATGCTTGCTAATGGCATTACGGGGGTACTGGTGTACTAAACATAGTTATAGTAGGCTGCATTGCAGTTAATATCATCAATAATATTTATGCCCATCATACTATTACATGTATATATATATATATCATGCATCATGACCAACAAAATCTTCCCTGACCTTGTGGGTGTAACAGAACAATCTCAAATCCAAGAGGTGATTTATTTGGTGGGATTTCTCTGTTACACCCTCAAGGTCAGGGGATGATTATTTTTCTCCCATACTATTATTTCAGCCATAACTGAACAGACAGTAGTTATATTTGTAAACATATTTTGTGTGTAAATGTTCACCATTCATCCTTTTATGACGTCACGATTGCCATTCTGTTTTTATGATGTCACAATTTAGTGCATCTCTCTCTCTCGACTAAAATGGGAGACACATACCTCTGAAGGTTGGGAGAATAAAATCACTTCAAATTTAACTGAAAACTAGATCATCTTTCCCACTGATCAGCTGTCAGATAAGGACTTACCTGTGCCTAGTTCTGTCCAAAGAATGACTTTCACCTTAACTGGGTTTAGAATGTACACTCTGTTGTTTCTCCAGCTCACCAAATACTGTGACCTACATAAAAAGAAATTGATTTAAACCTGTATAGCAGGTGTAAAATTTCACCATTTCTACCCCAGAACTTTTTCACATGCTATACTGGCTGTTCCAGGTTATAACTCAGTTGTTTCAGTGAAATTCCATTGTGTGTCAATATGACTGAGTTGTCTTTTGTATGAACTTCAAAATAATCAGGCGTTTTCCCTTTGTAAATTAATCTGTTTGTTTAAACTTTCAATGTTCACTTTCGTTGTGATCCACACCATATTATGGTGATGGATATTATAATTTCTTTGTGTCTTTTCCAGTATACCGTAAATGTTTTTTCCTTACCGATTCTTTTTCATTGAAACAAGTTGAAATTATTTTGGGTGTTTTTTTTAAATTTCAATTTAACTGTTACCTTATATGTATATTGTTTACACCTAATAACTTTAATTCAACTGGCATCATGGAAACTTGGAAATTGTGGCCACGATCTAACATACTCATAAGGTACAAATGTTTTGCAAATTTCGATGCATTCACAAAATTAGCAAAATTAAAACCCTCTTGAATATTACCAATTATAAGGTACATGTTATTAACTATCAGGTACATTTTAACAACAAGAAAAGTAATAAGGTACATGTTATTAACTATCAGGTACATTTTAACAACAAGAAAAGTGAATAATCCATTAAGTATAGATGTAACACCAATCAGAATGTGAAGATGTCAAATTTGGTTTTCTAATTCTATTCAAATCTTTTTCAGATGGCTTGTTATCCAGACTACTGGTGTGTGGGATAAAGAATTTCTACCGTACTTTACTTACCCCAACATCTTCAGACGAGGTAAGTTGATGCCCTGTCCAGCCCACTCTGACGCTGGTGTAGTAACCCATTCTGTCTCACTGTACCAAAACAATGAAAAGAACACTTGAACACTGCTACATGCAAAAAAGGAATGTTATATCTTAGATGGTATGGCCAGCACTTTTATACTTAATGCCAATTACTAAGGCCTAAAAGAAGATAACCTTGCAGTTCTGGTTTTATCCTCAGAGGTAAAGTAGGGGAACATTCTTAGTTTAAGGAGTGCTTATAATTATACAGTGCTTGCCTGAAAATTTGCCTAACAACTTTTGGGTCGGCTATTGATAAACAGGTTCAGAATGGAAACCAGAAACACATGATTATTTTTTTAATGCATTAACGGGAGATGTGGGTACATGTATCACACTCACTTCATGTCAATCTCTTAAATGAATAGTCAACAATTACTTTATATAAATCACTTAAGTGGGAGGCATGGCCGAAAACTTACTTCATGTCAATCACTTTGATAGGAGGTATGGCCAAAAGATGTTTAAACTGATGAGTACTGAGAACATTGCCTTCATAGTCTACCTGTAAATAAAGATAAACAAAGCATAAATTAAGCAGAAAATTACAAACATACAATATTGTACATTTTATTTGCATCATTCATTCCAGAAACTGAATCAAAGAATTTATATATTCAGATGTTTCAAAATTTTCTGATTTGTTTTTAAAGCAGTCATTCAGAAGTTTTGTTTTATGGTAGAGCCTCCAATAACCAATTTAACAGATCAGTAGTAGAGATAATGTGAGACATACCTCCCAGACACGAGAACTTGGCCGGGCACAGTACATCATGGGAAAGGACGTCTTACTGAGCTTGTAGAAACAGCCTCCGTACTCTCCCTCTCTGTAACAAAGTCTCAAATAAGTGACAGGGTATCAATCTGTACTCTCCCTCCCTGTAACAATGTCTCAAATTAGTGACAGGGTATCAATCTGTACTCTCCCTCCCTGTAACAAAGTCTCAAATAAGTGACAGGGTATCAATCCATACTTTCCCTCCCTGTAATATATTCCGTCTTTGCGTATTGCAGAGTTATCTTCTCTTGGGAGCAGGTATTGATTGTTACGTCATTGGTTTGTGTGAGAAAATTACGTCGTTTTCTCAAAAATTGATGACGTTACTCTCACAAACAAGTGACGTAACAATCAATACCTCCTCCCAAGAGAAGATAACTCTGCAATACGCAAAGACGGAATAGTCACAAATAAGTAACAGGGTATCAATCCATACTCACCCTACCACGTAAACAGCCTTATATCAATAACAGGGTATCAATCCATCCTCTCCCTACCACATAAACAACCCAATATCAATGACAGGGCATCAATCCATACTCTCCCTTCCACGTAACAGCCTTATACCAATGACAGGGTACCAATCCATACTCGCCCTACCATGTAAACACCCTTATATCAATAACAGGGGATGAATCCATACTCTCCCTATCACATAAACAGCCCAATATCCATGACAGGGTATCAATCCATTCTCACCCTACCACGTAAACAACCTTATATCAATAACAGGGGATGAATCCATACTCTCCCTATCACATAAACAGCCCAATATCCATGACAGGGTATCAATCCATCCTCTCCCTACCACGTAACAACCTTATATCAATGACAGGGGATCAATCCATACTCTCCCTTCCACGTAACAGCCTTATATCAGTAACAGGGTATCAATCCACACTCGCCCTACCACGTAACAGCCTTATACCAATGACAGGGTATCAATCCATGCTCTCCCTACCACATAAACAGCCAAATATCAATGACAGGGTATCAACCCATCCTCTCCCTACCACGTAAACAGTCTTATATCAATGACAGGGGATCAATCCATACTCTCCCTTCCACGTAACAGCCTTATATCGATGACAGGGTATCAATCCATTCTCACCCTACCACGTAAACAACCTTATATCAATAACAGGGGATCAATCCATACTCTCCATACCACATAAACAGCCCAATATCCATGACAGGGTATCAATCCATACTCTCCCTACCACGTAACAGCCTTATATCAATGACAGGGTATCAATCCATACTCGCCCTACCATGTAAACAGCCTTATATCAATGACAGGGTATCAATCTATACTCGCCCTACCACGTAAACAGCCTTATATCAATGACAGGGTATCAATCCATACTCGCTTTACCACGTAAACAGCCTTATATCAATAACAGGGTTAATCAATAAATGAACATGTACTGGAGGACATACATGTATGATAGCACTATTGTACGCAAGATGATGGTGTAAGATATCTATATCCTTTAGGGGCATTGAGTTATATAGTCGCATTTAAATGATTTGTTTGTTTGTGGTTTAACATCCTCACAACAGCCAGCAAGCCATATATAGGGTCATATGAAAAGAGGTGCCTAACAAGACACCAAAGAAACGAAATAGCAGGGAAGTGACAACAGAAAAGATAAAGATGCCAAGTGTCGCAAGGGGTGCAGAAAATCAAGTTAGGTTTCTTCATTGTTTCTTAATATTCTGCAGGTGCCCCTTCATAAGTTGTCTCTTATGAAATAAAGTGGTACACAACAGGTCTATTCTTTCCCAAAACCTGCAACTGAATGATGCCACATGTCATAACCAGATGACATATTATGATTAACAACAGGCTGGTATAGATTTATCGTCGACAAGGCTTTTGTCCTCGATAGTCCTTCTATACACCATTGCGATATGTCGTGATGGTGGTGAACCTTGAGGATGATAAAGAGTTGCATTTTCATCCCAAAAATCTTACATAGACATATTCAAAACTCTTAGCCATTGACATACACGTGTATATATCCCAACAAGTACTAAGGAAAACAATGTATTGTACTAGTGCCAGCTATTCATAGATTTGAAAAATATTTATTATAGTATGGGGAGGGAGTAATGAATAATTAATTTCAAAGTACTAGTGAAGTAGATTGTCACAAAATGTATGGTTGCTAATAAAACAGTACAAACCTTGGTTTTTTGCCAACCGGTGAATATTGTTGTCTGCAATAAAGAAATATATAACTGTATTGGAAGTGTTGGAAACAAAATTCAACGTTTTTTTCATTAAATCAATTATTAAACACAATTTTCAAAATGTAAAGTATATATCCTATATGTTCACATTAACAAAAAAGAATATATAACCTTTTTGACATGCTTTTTAAAGTCTTCTTATACAGAACAGTAAACTGTACAGTAGAGATTATATAGACTGACTAATGTAATACTGACCCTACCTTAGACAGAACAGTAAACTGTACAGTAGAGATTATATAGACTGAGTAATGTAATACTGACCCTACCTTATACAGAACAGAAAACTGTACAGTAGAGATTATATAGACTGACTAAGGTAATACTGACCCTACCTTATACAGAACAGTAAACTGCACAGTAGAGATTATATAGACTGACTAATGTAATACTGTCCCTACCTTATTCAGAACAGTAAACTGTACAGTAGAGATTATATAGACTGGCTAATGTAATACTGACCCTACCTTATACAGAACAGTAAACTGCACAGTAGAGATTATATAGACTGACTAATGTAATACCGACCCTACCTTATACAGAACAGTAAACTGTACAGTAGAGCTTATATAGACTGACTAATGTAATACTGACCCTACCTTAGACAGAACAGTAAACTGTACAGTAGAGATTATATAGACTGAGTAATGTAATACTGACCCTACCTTATACAGAACAGTAAACTGCACAGTAGAGATTATATAGACTGACTAATGTAATACTGCCCCTACCTTATACAGAACAGTAAACTGTACAGTAGAGCTTATATAGACTGACTAATGTAATACTGACCCTACCTTCTACAGAACAGTAAACTGTACAGTAGAGATTATATAGACTGACTAATGTAATACTGTCCCTACCTTATTCAGAACAGTAAACTGTACAGTAGAGATTATATAGACTGGCTAATGTAATACTGACCCTACCTTATACAGAACAGAAAACTGTACAGTAGAGATTATATAGACTGACTAAGGTAATACTGACCCTACCTTATACAGAACAGTAAACTGCACAGTAGAGATTATATAGACTGACTAATGTAATACTGCCCCTACCTTATACAGAACAGTAAACTGTACAGTAGAGCTTATATAGACTGACTAATGTAATACTGACCCTACCTTAGACAGAACAGTAAACTGTACAGTAGAGATTATATAGACTGACTAAGGTAATACTGACCCTACCTTATACAGAACAGTAAACTGGACAGGAGAGATTATATAGACTGACTAATGTAATACTGACCCTACCTTATTATGACAGATTGACTCTAATATCTAGAATGTACTGATTCATAGGCTGATTAATGTCAGATGATCTTACTTGACTGACCAATGACTGAGGGTGGTAAAGACGTACCCAATTTCCTGATAGTGTTACTAGGCACGCCCTTCCTGGTAGAATTATTATACACTGACCCATGTCAGATGGTGCTTCAGGCTGACCCCTATCTGGAAGTGCTAGACTGACCCCTACTTGATGGTGTTAGACTCACCCATACCTGGTGGTCTTACTGACTGACCTCTATATATAGCTACCTGATGTTGCGTTAGGCTGACCCTTACCTGATTGTGTTAAAGATGGACTGTAACCAACTGACCCCTAATGCCTATCCTACTACACTCATCCATTTCTGATTGTATTTCAGATTGACTCCTACCTGTATAATGGTGTTCCTGACAGACCTATCCCTGATATTGCAGGCCCCAACCGAAAATTGCCAGGGACTGACCCCTACATAATAGTATATCAGACTGACCCCGACCTGATGGTGACTCAGCTGACTAACCCCTACCTGAAAGTGACTCAGCTGACTGAACCCTAGCTAACTAATGGTGATACAGACTGACCCCTATCTGATGTGCCTAAACTCATTGACCCCCTACTTGATGTGCCTCAACTGTCTGCCTATCTGACCCATACCAGATGGTGCTACAGACTTGACCTCTTCCTGATTTTGCATCAGCTGACTGACCCCTAGTTACTGTACCTGATGGTGCTACAGAATGACCCCTTACTTTATGGTATCACACCAGTAGGCTCTGGTCATGGTGGAAACCAATAATTTGTTGTCTGACCAGTCCATCTGGATAACCGACGACTCAAGGCGCATAATGACATTCACAGGCATCTCTACCAGGTTCTTCACCTAATGCAAAGATCAAGGTAAGAAGATATATCAAAGAGGCAATACAAGGTCATAACGTTAACCACTTTTCAAAAGCCAGCAAGTGCTTTTTTATTAACACAAAATGTTGGAAATCTTCTCTTCATATTTTAAGCATATTCGTTTATTTATAGAACAAATATTTTGAACTCAAATGATAGCACATATATATATAAAACCATGGCAAAATTCATTTTCATATGTTTGGGACAAATGTTATAAAATAATTGTAGTTTACATTCAAAATCCTTGAATTCATTTTTTTTCAAGAAAAAACTAAATGGTTTGATATAAAAGAGATCATCTTAAAAATTGATTTTTTTCATCCAAAGATGATAAGTGAACTTCTAACGAATCCACATATATTCATTAATATTGTTTTTTTGAAGATAGTTACAATACTATACATTCTATTTTATTGTCCTTTGTCTATTAATGAAAGCTTCAATCAGGTTCCAGTCAATCCAACTTACACTCATTTTTCAATGTAACTAATGACTCCTAAAAGGTTAAATTGAAATGATCATTCTTCTGGAATTTAAGTTTTCAGGAATGTTTAAGGGTGGTTTCGAAACTACCATGTGGAGGTTACACTAATAAAAACAAACTACCACCTACCTTGGGGACGACAGACATGGAAACTTTGCCTGTGACGTCAGCTACATAGATTTTCCCACCAGAATGTTCCCACTGTATACAGGTGACTGTAGTTCGCACGTGCTCAGTGACAAGCTTCAGTCTCTCTGGCCGAGCTCGTCTGTCGATGTTCATTTCCATCACTACGACATGGCCATTCCTTGAGAGAAAAAAAATCTTTTATCCAATTCCATCACCATTACAGCGACAAATTAGTAGCCTGCAGCTAAGATAAACACGTCAGGTTAATTGTTAAGTATGTCAAAATGGATAAGCAGAGCCCCAATATAACATCTACAAGCCCAAGATGACAGAATTGTTCACCCTTACTACATTGAAAATCATTACATTCCTTTTTTTCAATTTTATCATATCACCGAGTTGTAAACCTAACCATCTCATTAGATAATAATAATCAGTTTGATGTCTTGAAATTATCATTAAAAATTATACTTATTTAATATTATACTTATTTCACATTAATTTTGTAGAAAATAAAGAAAAAGAATGACATCATTTTGAAGTACGGTTTTGCAATGACATTCTATACCAATCTATAAAGTAGAGAAACAAGAATCACAATATGATTAAAAAAAAAAAAAAAAAAAGGATGTCAAGACTAAAGTTAAATGTCTAGACCTAGGGCACACTTACAATGTTGAGAAAGCCACCAACTTCTCATTGGGACACAAGGCCACAACATTTACTGCTGATGGATCCTACACAAAATACAGAAAGCTAGCATAACTTAAAATGACAGAGTGGATGTGAGATTGGTGCATTTAATTAGAAGCCATTTATCTTCACATTAACTTTGAAGTATGTGTTCGCCTTTCAAAGCCCATTCCGAGAACAATATGCATTTCACTGACAAAAGAAATATTTAAATGTCCACTTTAAAAACATTTAGTTTGTTTTTCTATTGAACTTTACTGTAAGCATGCATACTTATTTATCATTATATTTTAACATTGAAGGAAAACAATATATATATATAAATTGCAGTTAGTGCAAACTTGTTTACGGTGCAAAAAGAGCTAAAAAAGATTACCACAAAAATATGTAGTAATAAACTTACCACTTCAGGAAATACAACTTGAAGATGTTTTAGAGTGTTTCTATCAAAGATGTACACATTTCCAGTGTTGCTCCCCAATGCTATGAATTTTGCAGATACTGACAGACATGTAAACTACAACAGAAGAATAGAACAAATATACAATTTTTGTCAAAAGCACAGTTTAAACATAATCATCTTTTTCAGAACTCTATCAATATATGAAACTAACAAGACGTAGATCATATGAAACTGTTTTGATAGATTCATGTATGTTTTAGGTGATTTAAAATTCTATGAGCCCACCTTTAGGCGAGCTGATCCCCGGAGTGGGGTTTGAAGATTGTCCAGTTGGCCCGACTCCAACAGAAGGTGTGTCCATCCCGGAGGATCAGCCATGGTCATCAGGGTCTTGTTATCAACTGACCATCTTGACATCCATACACATCAACAATTACGAGCATTTGTATTTGCTGTTAAATAAAGAAATTTTGTTGTCAAAATTCAATAGAAAGTTAAAACATACAACATGCATGCAGTATGCTGTATTACAGGTATATGAGATTCTCCCACAACCAACTGTCATTAATATTTCAACCTTTTATTTGAAGATCAAATTCATTTCTTTATAAACAAAGACTTAAGAAATGATAACTGAGCATGTCTGGACCCATCCTGATTTATAGAGTGTCCTTTGATTGTTTTTTTTTGGGGGGGGTTTAGATCATATGATCAACGCCCAGTAAAAATACCCCCACCCCTATATGATGGTAATGTATAAGTTGTAGAAATCTTAAATCATATTGCAGGTTGGGTACAAGATAATGTATATAATGCTCAAGGCAACATAGGAAAGATTGACAATTTTTTTCAATAACTGGCTGCTCAACGTTGCACTTTGTTGATGGTATTTATCAGTCTTTTTTTTCATTCTTTTCAACAATGCCAAGCTTTATTTGTGTAGCAGAACTGGACTGGGTCGCTCGTTGGTGACCAGGTAACTCAATTGATAGAGCATCCGTGTAGAGTTCAGAGGGTCCCGGGTTCAAAACCTGATCTGGCCGTGCATTTTTCCATCTCCTGTTACAGTGGTGACTGTGACCAACTCTTGTTTCAAGCATTTGGTGTACGCTTTGCAAGGGGATACCCGAACTTGGGTTGTAAATATATAGTTGTGTCTTCAGGGGTGAAGACTTAAAATGTTGCGGAACTGGACTGGGTAGATCATCGGCGACCATGCAGGTAGCTCAATTGGTAATTTGGTAGAGCATCCGTCTAGAGTTTGGAGGATCACAGGTTTGAACACTAGTCTGGGCGTGCATTTTTTCATCTCCAGTGTTACATTTGCATGTACCAACCAGGAATATAATTTTTAATTTGCAGAAAGTTTGGTGGAGTCAATTTTTAATCTTTAAAAAAAAATCTTCCCTTCCTACATATACCATTTTCGTGGGTAGAATTTTTACGGAATGTTAATCTAAACCCCTGAAAATTCTAATAGGCCCAACTCTCACTGCATGTATGAGATAATGTTTATGTAATACGAAAATATCCTAATATTTGGACGAATGTTGTTATGAAGCAAAGGATATATTCATATGTTTAAATATGTATTCAATTCTGCTGGCTACACATCAATGTCGGACTGGGATGCTGTGTCTGGAAGTATTTAGTTTAGTAAGAGTAACGCCTTTTGGTATTTGTAAGCCATGCACATTTTGGTATACGCTTTTTACAATTATAGATTTTACCCGTCAAGTGTTCATTTCATTTTACTTCCAGAAAGAAAAATACCCGCGGTTATTAGGTACCTTGTCCTAGATATAGAATCCAACCTACCATTCTTAGTATCTTCGCTGTTTATTTTCACTTTGCTCCCTGCATCACATGATGATGAAGAGTTCTACAAAGGGACGTAACTCCAACAGCAGACGACGGGTCCTCGACTTTATGACATGCAGTAAAGCATAGACTGGACGCCTCACTATATCACGGACTTAGATATTCCGAAGCAATGAATTCTTATAATGAAAATAATGAAAGAGGCGTAAATGTCGTTCTGCGAGCACTGTCATGAAAAGTGGCTGTATAAATGTCTAATTTTGCTGAGTAAAATAATTATACGTCATAAAACGGGCACTGGATCGGAACCGATAAAGTTACAATGGGTGCATACAAGCATAGAGCTCATGGTAAACAACATAGGAGTGATCGCTGTAAAATACTATAAAACGAGACTGAAACGAGGCTTTATTTTGAAATATTCTATAGAACCATGGACTTAGATTAGATTAGGTAAATTGGCTCCAGCGAGAGGGTCACAGGTCGTCACGGTTCGGTGCACAAATACAAGAGGTGGACAATACATACGCGAAATGAAATTGGAGTTGCCAATCCCTGTTATCTAAGTCAGTGATAGAACTTTCTCCCTTTATCACACACTTCTATCAGTTGTCTATCAACACTGGCACCGGACCGTCCCATTGGATTGGAAAAAGGCTAACATCATCCCAGTCTTCAAAAAAGGTGAGCGTCACAAATCTGTTTATTACCGCCCAGTCTCTCTTACATCAACATTCACAGAAATATCATTCGCCACCTTGAACACCACAGAATCCTAAACGACAACCAACATGGTTTTTAGGAAATCCCGAAGCTGTGAATCTGAACTAATCTCTACCATTCATGACCAAGCTAAAAATCAATGTCTTCTTCACAAACTTCACTTCTACGGTATCAGAAATAATACACTAGACTGGATCAACAGGTATTAGTTAACGGAGCCACATCTTCCGGCGTGCCTCAGGCCACAGTACTAGGGCCACTCTTTTTTCATATCTTTATCCATGATCTCCCAGAATCTGTCTCATCACATGCTAGGCTGTTCGTAGATGACTGGTTGCTATATCGTGTAATTAAGTCAACCAACGACAGCCTTGCACTACAGCCAGATCTTAATGAGGCTCCACACTTTCGCAATTAACGAGCTGTACTTTTTCCGGAAGTACGTCACGAAAATGGACACTGATGACGATGTGTGAAGCCACCTTAACATGCTACAGAAATAGAAATTTGACTGGCAGATGCAATTCAATACGGATACATGTTTTGCTATCCGAATGTCTAGGAAACGGTCAAATAATTCCACCTCATTTGACTATACCATCCCAGTGGCGGATCCAGAGACCTATCTGGGGGGGTTTCCAAATTTCCTGGGGGGGTTTCCATGTTGGAAAAAAATGAGGAAAATGGTGAAAATATATGATTTTTAAAGAAAATGCTCAGGGTGGGGGGGTTTCCTGAAGCCCAAAAAACCCCTCTGGATCCGCCACTGCATCCACAACCATACCTTAGAGATTGTATCAGATAGTAAATACCTGGGTGTAACATTTAGTCAAGATCTCTCTTGGGCCCCACACATTTCCAACGTAACATCGAAAGCGTGTAGAACACGAGGGTCTCTCCGCATGAATAATCTCAAACATACACAACACTAGTAAGACTCCAGTTAGAGTATGTCAGTTCAGCATAATATGGGACCCTTATTCCAGTGATCACATCAACCAACTGCAATCTGCCCAACGTACGCGTAGAACAGCCAGGTATGTCTTCAATGACTATTACTCCAGAACACCAGGATCAGTCACTGACATGCTGAAATTACTAGAACGGCCATCCCTGGAGGAACGCCAGACTAGTTAACTTTTACAAAATTACAAACAATCTTCTAGCAGTGCAGACCGACCACATATTACAAACCTCTGACGCCCGAACCAGAGGCAAACACAAATTTAAAGCTATTCGCACCAACAATGAATACTACAAACACTCCTTCTTCCCTCGGACAGTCATGGACTGGAATCAACTTCTAGCAACCTTAGCTATAAATGACTCGCTAAAGAGTACTTTAAATGTAGCCTTTACAAATCCACACCAACTGAATAAGCCCCTCCCCCGCCCCCTCCTCCCCCAGTCAACAGCACCAGCAGGAACATGCACTGTACGTAGTACAGACAGGATCATTCTCTAAATTTCAGCTGAACCTAACTATATACCTGATTCCCCTGAGTCGGCCAGGGGCCGAAGACTTACCTCTTTAAAATTAACCTCCTATATTTGTATACTTGTGTATGTCAATCTTACTCTTTATAAACTATAAATCGCTCTCCTGTGGAGTATTCTACAATGTATATTCTAAATTTTATAACATTTGCCATTCTTTTAACTTGTACATGTATCAATATTACATCATCATTTTTTATCCGTGCATGCGCAAGTCATCGCTCCATACTAGGACTAATTCCTTGTGTGAAAGAAGAAGAATGCCAAAATTTGGGACAAGTCAATCATACCAGATAAGACTAGCCCATGTTTTGTTGTACGCCTCTGTATCATTGACAAAAAAGTCCGTACTGATGTTTTTTGTAAAAGAAAAACAGAATATATATGAATAGACATACGAAAAGGCAATTTCCAATCATCCATAATCTCATGCGGATGTTATTGAGTCTCTTTTCAGGTCGACTTTCGGCCTTGACATAATAATTTACGGCTGAGGAGTTGTTTGGTGATAAGCGGGTACATATATAAATACGGTCTCTGTATATATAATATACTGTATACGTCTCTGTACAAAGTTTATCTACATGTATTATCATAAGGAAACGTAGGGAAGTACAATACATTTGTTTCTGATAAACCTCGCTGTTAAACGTTTGATAACCAATGTTTACTATATTGTGACATCTAGTGTTAATCTTTGCTATACTCATACACTAACTAAATCTTTTTCGCCGAGGAAACATTTATCACGTTTCCAGGATCGATTATGACACGGTTTCACGTGTATTTGGGCGTGATGTGTGCAGTTGTTATAGCAACACTGATCAACCACGCCCAAGGTGAGGCCACGCCCAACATCGTGTTCATCTTAACGGATGACCAAGATCTGGAGCTGGGAGGCACGGTAAGGGACACATGTGTTTATGCATGAGACACAATGGGGTATACTTATATAGAGGGATCTCGTGTGATGTCATAGGGTACATGTAACTCTTAAAAGCAACATGGAGTAAATTTACCTATAGTGATGTCATACTATATATAGCATGACTCATATAGTACTCTTTTCCTACATGAGATTTCCAACTATCTTCAAGTTTGTTGAAATATTACAAATACTTAAAAATCTTCAAAATACTAAGTGTTGTCAAAAAAGGTTGTTTAATTTGCTTCTCTTTCTCATAATTCTAATTCATAATATTTTATATAAATTTACAAATAGTTTATAGTGATTTGTGCATATTCAATCAAAGCCTTGATTAGTTTCGCGGGTGCTTACGGTATACATTGTCAGTGCTTGTGACCTCTTTTTATCACAAATTTTGTTTTCAATACTGCTAGCCGAATAGTATACACTTTGTAGCTACAGTAAAATTAATAACTGAAATTGAAGTTGTAACATAATTTTCTTCTCGTGATCTAAGTAAGGGACGGTCGGGCGGTACAGTGGGCCGGGTTCGATACCCGTTCGGATGCGAAAAGCTAAAAGTGATTTGTGTCACCTGCCCGACCACGTGGGTTTCCACTGGGTTCTCCGGTTTCCTCCTACAATAAGAATGTAAGACCCCCTGCGTGCTACCACCTGCGCCAGCTAGAGTGATTAATATAAAATATAATTTGTTTCACAATTGTTATAACCCAGATAAAGCTTAATGTAAATTTAAGGATAAATATGTGCGATACAGTCTTACCAATAGGTTCAGAATTTGCAAATATATCATAATTAATAATAGTTAACAAATATTTTGTATTTTTCAGATTCCCATAAAGAAAACTCGGGATTTAATTGGCAGCCAAGGAAAAGTGTTCGAACAGTTTGTACGTTTTAGAAGCATTACTCTTATTTCAAATTCATTTCTTAAAATAGCATACCTTAACACTGCAACATCCAACTACATGTCGTAAAAGGCGACTAATGTGTGACCCTCTNGGGGGGGGGTCTTGTTTGAAACCACAATTGATCTGCTGCCCCCATTGCAACATTCGGGATTTTGATATTTTCTCTCTACTTCATTAAAACCCTTTCGTTTCCTAGTACCTTGCCTGGAAATGTGGGGTAGGCAATGGGTTCTGTCCCCAGGCCCGGACATACAAAAATATATCGAGTCATTAAAAATGGTAGTTGTTTTCATGCCTAACGTTCAGCATAAGGGGTAATGGCAACAACTGGTTCACCCTTTTACAGTATAATGTGACCGGGCGGAATGATGTGCTGGACACCGATGGCATGGTATTTAAGTGAGGTAGCACTCTAAAGTTGGCACCAGAACGACGGTTTCGCATGCAAGGAGAAATACATCAACATACCCTACCTCCATCAATACACACATGGTGGCACGTCTTTGATAAATGACTACAAATGGCCCAGCTTTCTATAAAACACTCTTGTGCTATCTATTATAAAAGGCGGTAATGCCTTTCCATTTAGAGATATGTGCGTATAAAAATGAAGATAATGGGCACGTCCATTCTTACTTATCGTGCGCCAATAACCGAAAATCCTTCATGATCCTTCCACCACCTATAATATAGCCTATGCGTCAAAACTATAGTTCACTGTTTCAACATTGATATGTTTTTCAAAAACAAACAAAAATTTAATGAAAAGATACGGTAACATTTTCATAAAGTGTACATGAACATGTCAATATACTCGAATATACAAAAAGCTTTGCATTTTTTTTTCAGTTTATTCAAAATTCCTGTTTTTCTTCATAGTTTAATTTTACTTGTGTCTTAACAAAACTTAGTTAATTCAATATAAATAATTTAAGCTAAAATATGTTTTTTGGCGATTATCTATACTGTCGAAAAATATCTTGCCAGATACGTTACTAAACAAAACACCCATACTACCAGCATTTATTATCGATGAATACAAATTTAAAATATCTTGGTATAGAGGTATCTTATACCGCATGTAAATCCATCGACATTTATACATCAAGTATCCTGCATGAAACTCGGTATTCGTGTTTTTTCCGTTAAAATTTCAACAGATACGTGACCTGTATTTGTCTAATAAATCTGTACTCATTGTCGTGAGAACTTTGTTATAGCTTACACGATAAAACTTAAGTGTAACATTGTTGTACAATGTGTAAATTTAAAGCGAATACCGAGTGAATTTAATTTTGCTGACGTAAACAGTTTTGCATACCAGATACGTTATACTCAGATACGTTATTCACAGATACGTTATACACGGATACGTTATGAAGAGATACGTTATACACGGATACGTTATAAACAGATACGTTATACACGGATACGTTATAAACAGATACGTAATACACAGATACGTTTTAAACAGATACGTTATACACTGATACGTTATACACAGATACGTTATACACAGATACGTTATAAATGGTTCTATAGTCGTTGGTTATAACAAAGATACTCTAGATTCTAGTTTTGTTTCGTGGGATTTTGATGTAAACAATATAATTAGACCTTTTACAAACTGTTCTTGCATCAGCTGACTTAGTTTTCAAGGGGAATATCTTCAAATCTCAGGAAATCCAAAGACATGAATGCATATATAATAATGGTTGATTTGTGTACGTTATTGTAGATGTTCACATATATTTAACTACTATAAATGGATTATAAAGGATTAATTAGGGAAAACTTTGACAAAAAGGGTGGGATATGTGAGGATAAGGGACCACATGTTCAGTTTGGTCACGTTTCTGTTTTGGTGCATTATTTTCCCAGGTAAAATCGACTTGGCTATGTGAACATTTGAGATAGGTGCATATATTTGATCACAAGTGATCATTACATCGATTTAAAGTTTGTTTTAGTGATAATGTTAAGTAGCATGAGTATAACACTTGACCAACATAATGTGTAACGTATCTGTTGGAATGGTAACTATATTTAAAACGTATCTGTTTAAGTTTTGAATGGGAGTAACGATTGAAGAAAAGTGATATGTACGCTAGCGTACAAACTTTTTGCAGTACTAGTCAAAGCCGCCTTGATGTTTAATAACGTCTGGATTTTTTGTGAAGTTGTTTTCAATATAAAAGTTTGTTATAAAGTTACTTGTTCAAATTGTGTGAACAGATACGTTACGAGAACACAGTATTTCCTTGTTTTAATGCTACATACCATAATGGGTTTTTTCTTCTGAAATATAGATCAAATCAATAGTAGTTAATCAAAAAAGGTGCAAATAACACACCATTTCGATTGAAGATGCTGTAAAATTATATCTGTATCTCTGGCTGGCAAGGTTACATATACACATGTACAATATGGTACTCAACTTTAAAGAGATACAGCCGAGATAGTATCTTTGTTGTGTTGCTGAAGAACGAATGTTTGGTACTGTAAATATGCATTAGTTGATGAAAAATACTTTTCTAAAACTTAACCCATGAAAAGTGCTCAAAAGTTTGAAGTTCAAAGAATTAAATAAAAATTGTTTTTGAATACATTGGTTTTGAATGATTTCCGTTCCAGACCAAATGCCTGTTTTCATATACGATCAGAAAAAAGTGTTACAAAATGTAGCATTTGTTACAGAAATGTCTGTTTTCATGACACAGTCTATCTAGGATTCGCGAATATGTTAAATATGAAGAAGAAAAACATTTCGTTTTGAAGAAGTACTGGATCACGTATCTGTTTGACCTGTTGGGAATGGACACTTCTATTTTCAAAACTGGTGAATAGTAATCAGAACCCTTTCGGTTATTATCCTACACAGGTTCCTCGTTTGAGAAAAGATAACAAAATGTTCGCAACGTAAAGTTCATTTTCCACTTTTACTGTATATGTATTGGCGCATGATAAGTGAGAATGAACGACCAGACAAATGGCATGAACACCATGTTCAAAGTACCTTTGATACAAAATATGACAAGTTACAATTAAGTTTTGACAATACTCGTTCAAAGTTGATCTTTAAATCGTTCTTTATTCACCACAGTACGTGAACACACCTCTCTGCTGCCCGAGTAGATCCAGCATCCTAACCGGAAAGCACGTGCACAATAATATGGCGGTAAATAATTCTCTGGAGGGAAACTGCAGCAGTCCCGCGTGGCAACAGACACAGGAAGTGAGGGCCTTCCCGACCTACCTTCACAGAAAAGGGTACACTACATTCTTCGCTGGAAAATACCTCAATCGTGTACGTTTTTTTTAAGCTGGTCCTAACAAATTCCAAATGTCCGTAAAATCATTCAGCAAGGCTTTGTTAAGCTGATATGAAAACTCAGACAAGTGATAGATATATATCGTAACAAAAAGTATATAGATTTTGTTTTTATCTAATAGCTATGGTACAAGATGATCTTGCAACATGTGTCAATAATCTTCATAGATATCAATTCCACGTGTTCTCATTCCTTCTTAAATAATGTACAATCACACGCCATCAAAATCATGTTTGCTACATTATTCAGTTATTAACTAATTTTATAAGCAAATTAATGCAGACACAATAGCTAGAATAAACGACTGCATCGAAAAGGAAACTAATGTACATTCGTGTCTTATTTCAGTACGGTAACAAAAAGGCGGGTGGTGTTCAGCACGTGCCCCCGGGATGGACACACTGGAACGGACTGGTCAGTACCATTTCAAAGACTGATGGTACCTAGCAACGTGTTCGAAGCAAGGAACATCAGAATTACGGAACGGCTAAAATGTCACTTGTCGTTCTTACCAAAAAATGTATATGCTTTTAGCCCGTCTCAAGTAAAGACCTCTCAATAGTTTACAATTTCAAAATAGAGTGTTCTAACTTGTAAAGTCATACTTTTGTTATAAAAGATTTATATATTTTTTTCTGTACAGGTGGGCAACTCTAAATACTACAACTATACACTTTCTGTGGACGGCGTGGAAGAGAAACATGGCGACAACTACGACGAGGATTATTTTACTGACGTCATCGTACGTGATGGTCATTGGACCGCGTGTCCTCTTGTGAACCTGTTCATGAAAAACGAATATAATAATGGACCAATGTCTGTCTTGGCGAAATGGCATTATATGTAGTAGAACACTTGCTCCATATATATCTCTCAATACTGTGATAGTATCCTATTTATTTTACAGAACAGAAAGGCAACGACGTTCTTAAACTCGGCCCCGCCCACTCCGTTCTTCATGATGTTGGCCACGCCTTCTGCCCACGCCCCCTTTACTCCTGCTCCACAGTACCGGGACCGGTTTAGCCAAGTCAAGGCCCCAAGGGACGGTTCCTTCAACATGCACGGCTCGGTAAGCTGACCGACCAAGGCAACCTGGTGGTGCGCAGATTGGTCAAGTTTGTGTATTACAGTAACGACTATGTATGCGTACTGCTATCTGTTTTATATTGGATACTGTTTCAGTTGAGGAACTATGTAACTAGTGGTATATGTTTAACTGCAAAGTGTTTGTTTCACATGTTTCATATGTCTCACACTCACAGAATACGTCATGCAGATATTCCAATACAAATACTGCGTTCAAGATTATTTTGCTTTGAAAATACTGTTGAATTTTTCAATGACACATGCAGTAACAATTTTTGGGACTTTTCTTTCGATTCAAGGACAAACATTGGTTGATACGACAGGCTATAACACCTATGATGAACGAATCTGTCCAGTACTTAGACAGTATATACAGAGACAGGTGTGTACGTTACCTATAGGACACAGAACGGCATGTTCCTTGTGACCATTTCTTTGGACGTATCATAGCAATTGCAAGTTGATATCATTTTTAAAGAATTTGTGTTCATTAATTCTTTTATCAATGACATGAGATATAGCACCATGATCTACCCAGAATAAGACACTCAAAGTGCGCTTTACATTATATAAAATAGAATTCAAAGTTAATATTACTTGAAGTACCAGGAAATAATTACTAGCCGAATGCCATGTTCTGACGTGTGCTGGAGGCGTATCATCCTCGATAACCAGGGTTACCCTCACTTTCGCTTTCTTCACCTCTGAAATATGTCATAGCAAAATTTAAGGCTCAATGTGCAGCACCTCGTGGATGAGACGAGAAGACTAGTTTGATCCTTTGTATGTACATCAAAAGAATCTCGCGGTCGCGTAACGGTAAAAAAATACAGGCTTTGAAGTCGGGCGTCGCTCCTTTGTAAACTTCAAAGGACAAGTATCAGCCTAGCCTAGTGATTGGTTAGGTGTTTTTACCTGACACCAATCAAATAGCTAGCCGCGTGCCTTCACTTTTGCTATGACATATTCCAGGGGTGTAGAGAGAGAAATTGAGCGTAACCCATGGGTATCGATGATGGAGGCGTATTAGTGTTCTGCTGTGCGTTGGGATTGTATTTCAAACTGCTCCTTTTTTCATATTGACAGTTAGTTAAGTTGAATGTCATTTCAAGGTCATTGTAGCACCGCCAAAACCATTTCCCCCAACTAGATTAACCGTGTGACAAACTAACTTCTGTTTTAATGCTGTGACGTGTAGGTGGCGTACATTACTTTCTGTGGATGATATGGTGGAGAACCTGGTGGACCAGCTGACTAAAAAAGGCCTCATAGACAACACTTACATCTTCTTCTCCTCTGATAACGGTTACCATGTCGGTAACTAAACATCACTTACATCTTCTTCTCCTCTGATATTGGTTACCATGACGGTAAGTAAACAACCCTTACATCTTCTTCTCCTCTGATAACGGTTACCATGTCGGTAACTAAACATCACTTACATCTTCTTCTCCTCTGATAACGGTTACCATGTCGGTAAGTAAACAACACTTAAATCTTCTTCTCCTCTGATCACGGTAACCATGTCAGTAAGTAAACAACACTTACATCTGCTTCTCCTCTTATAACGGTTACCATGTCGGTAAGTAAACATCACTTCCATCTTCTTCTCCTCTGATATAGGTTACCATGTCGGTAAGTAAACAACACTTAAATCTTCTTCTCCTCTGATAACGGTTACCATGTCGGTAAGTAAACAACACTTAAATCTTCTTCTCCTCTGATAACGGTTACCATGTCGGTAAGTAAACAACACTTAAATCTTCTTCTCCTCTGATAACGGTTACCATGTCGGTAAGTAAACAACACTTACATCTTCTCCTCCTCTGATAACGGTAACCATGTCAATAAGTAAACAACACTTACATCTTCTTCTCCTCAGATAACGGTAACCATGTCGGTAAGAAAACAACACTTACATCTTCTTCTCCTCTGATATCGGTAACCATGTCAGTAAGTAAACAACACTTACATCTTCTTCTCCTCTGAAAACGGTTACTATGACGGTAAGTAAACAACACTTACATCTTCTTCTCTGATAACGGTTACCATGTCAATAAGTAAACAACACTTACATCTTCTTCTCCTCAGATAACGATAACCATGTCGGTAAGTAAACAACACTTACATCTTCTTCTCCTCTGATAACGGTTACCATGTCGGTAACTAAACATCACTTACATCTTCTTCTCCTCTGATATTGGTTACCATGACGGTAAGTAAACAACCCTTACATCTTCTTCTCCTCTGATAACGGTTACCATGTCGGTAAGTAAACAACACTTAAATCTTCTTCTCCTCTGATAACGGTTACCATGTCGGTAAGTAAACAACCCTTACATCTTCTTCTCCTCTGATAACGGTTACCATGTCGGTAAGTAAACAACACTTAAATCTTCTTCTCCTCTGATAACGGTTACCATGACGGTAAGTAAACAACACTTACATCTTCTTCTCCTCTGATATCGGTAACCATGTCAGTAAGTAAACAACACTTACATCTTCTTCTCCTCTGATATCGGTAACCATGTCAGTAAGTAAACAACACTTACATCTTCTTCTCCTCTGAAAACGGTTACTATGACGGTAAGTTAACAACACTTACATCTTCTTCTCCTCTTATAACGGTTACCACGTCGGTAAGTAAACATCACTTACATCTTCTTCTCCTCTGATATATGTTACCATGTCGGTAAGTAAACAACACTTACATCTTCTTCTCTGATAACGGTTACCATGTCAGTAAGTAAACAGCACTTACATCTTCTTCTCCTCTGATAACAGTTATCATGTCGGTAAGTAAACAACACTTACATCTTCTTCTCTGATAACGGTTACCATGTCAGTAAGTAAACAGCACTTACATCTTCTTCTCCTCTGATAACAGTTATCATGTCGGTAAGTAAACAACACTTACATCTTCTTCTCCTCTGACAACGGTTACCATGTCGGTAAGTAAACATCACTTACATCCTCTTCTCCTCTGATATTGGTTACCATGACGGTAAGTAAACAACCCTTACATCTTCTTCTCCTCTTATAACGGTTGCCATGTCGGTAAGTAAACATCACTTACATCTTCTTCTCCTCTGATAACGGTTACCATGTCGGTAAGTAAACAACACTTACATCTTCTTCTCCTCTGCTATAGGTTACCATGACGGTAAGTACACAACATTTACATCTTCTTCTCCTCAGATAACGGTTACCATGTCGGTAAGTACACAACACTTACATCTTCTTCTCCTCCGATAACGGTTATCATGTCGGTAAATAAACAACACTTACATCTTCTTTTCCTCTGATATAGGACACCATGTCTTTAAGTAAACAACACTTACATCTTCTTCTCCTTTGCTATAGGTTACCATGACGGTAAGTAAACAACACTTACATCTTCTTCTCCTCTGATAACGGTTACCATGACGGTAAGTACACAACATTTACATCTTCTTCTCCTCAGATAACGGTTACCATGTCGGTAAGTAAACATCACTTACATCTTCTTCTACTCTGAAAACGGTTACCATGTCGGTAAGTAAACAACACTTACATCAGATAACGGTAACGATGTCGGTAGGTTATCACATCATAAACAACATTTACATCAAATAACGGTTACCATGGCGACAAGTAAAAATATCATAAATAACACTTACAGCAGTTAACGGTTACATGTACCATGTCCGCAAGTAAAGATGTGACGAACAACACTCACTGTTTACGGTTTCAGTGTCGGTGAGTAAACAACGCTCACGTCTTATTCAAGTGCAGACAACACCTACATTAATGTAGCTAAAAATGGCCGTATTGTCCTTTTCATAAACTAGAAGGCCTATACCTAATTGTTAAAACGGACGATGCTGACGTTGCTTAATTAATTATAAATAGTCCGTAAACACGTCTCCAGCAAAAAATAAATGCATGCAAAGTGTTGTAGCGAATTTCTCATTGAAGCATAAATTATACAAACATATTTTGTCCTAGATAATTTTCTGCACTTTTTTCCCCACAGACATCGAGTTACATGCATGATAGGAAAATTACAGTAGCGGTTTCACAAAATTTGTATTTTCAAAATACACGAATATATAACACCACAGAGATTTCTCAAACGTTTGCAGTATGACATGAAAAAATATAAATGTGTATCTCCTAGTTTTAAGAAATTATTTTCCTCAAGTTGCTGTAAATAAATGTTTGACTGTTCAAATTTTGAAAATGTTAGATGAATTTGGGGGAAAACATTCAAGTTCTGCAGGTTAGAAAGCTTCAATAGGTACCAACATACCTCTCCCGAAACGAAAAGTTTCCGGAACAGGACGCGGACGATTACTTTAAATAGACTTTTCATCGTTCTATTGCAGGCCAGTTCTCCCTGCCATCAGATAAGCGCCAGCTCTACCAGTTTGACATCCACGTGCCTTTCATGGTCCGGGGGCCGGGCATAACCCCAGGAACGACCAGCCAGGTAACTAAAGCCAGGTGATGATAACAAAACGTTTATGTATGTACACATTTCCCTTTTTAAGTCTACATATCTCGATCATATGCTTCTATATACATGTACCTGTGCATAATATTTAACAACATGCCAAAAGGTACCGTTATAACCTATATGTACTTTCCATCAACTTTTCATCAGACCGACGATGAATTAGGGACGCATTATTCAGACTGGCTTTATCTGTGTGTCTGTCTGGGAGTCAACAAAATTTGCCTGAACTATACCTTTCCTGCTATTTCACCCCTACGTTCATAATACTTGCTCTACTTTTTTGCTTTAAGGGAAGGCAGATTGTCACGTACCAGTAAGTTAAAGTCCGGTGCTCTCTTTAAACAAAGTTATAGCCTTTTGATACTAAAGCATCCGATGCATAACTCACCAAACTTGTTAAATGTGGGTAAAACTGTAAGAGACGGAGTGTCGCATACAGCAATTGGGTATCGAATCGATCTATTTGTAACCATTTAAAATGATTGGAATAAGGAAGAAAGGAAACCTCTGTAAACAGATATACATGTTAGGTCAAAAGGGAGTATATTGCTGTCTACTTTTGTTCCGATTTACAATGAGCCTAAATAATAATTACCACATTGCATATGACGGGTGCGTGTATAACGTTCCGTCCCTTTTGTACAATTCACTGTTATTTAGGTAGCTATCTACAGTAGAAATGGCCCGACTCTGAAAAACAAGGCACATGTCGAGGAAATGTAAACACAGCGTATTTACCCTACACAACACATATATACATGTATATATATTTGTAAACTGCATTACATTTACAATACATATAAAATATTGAGAGGTGTATAAACCTCTTTTTTCTATGTATGTCACTAGTGTGAAAAACCATGGTTACCACATCAAAAAATACCAAAACATGCCAAAAAATGCCAAAAAATGCTATTTTTGACCTAAAATTTGACTCCCGCAACTAGTAATTTTTTTCCTAAGTTCTGTCTGAAATTAAAGATTACCTACTTGGTTGCCGAATCATCTGGGTCACAGTAAAGTTGTAAAACTTGATTTTTTGCAATTTTTCGTCTTGTGCTGTTGTCAAAATTTTACCTCCTGTAAAGCTAGCTTTTCATGTATAAGCACTCTTTCGGATTATGGCCAAAATTTTGATCTCGAACCAAAAACATTTTTTTTGTTTTTTGTTTACAAATGTGAAGCTCACATAGCCCACTTCATCATGCTTATACCAATTTTAATATAGTTTTATTTTTATATTTTTTTTCCCCTTATCATTATACAGGGGTTAGCCATTTAACAAAAATATCACCCATGGCCACAACCCTCTACTGTAGACTGCTACCTTAGACTGAAATTACGAATTTGTCCCATTTCTAAAAGCTCTCTGCTTTCTTTTTATCGTCCATCATTTTTGAATTTTGCTGTTATTTGATATACATTTCAGGACTTGGTGACCAGTATTGACCTAGCACCGACATTCTTAGAAATTGCTAAAATCCCGCCTCCGTCTGACATGGATGGCTTGTCCCTTCTCCCGCAACTGTCTGATACACAGATCAATGCACAGGACCGGAAGTACCTTCTGATTGAACACCAGGGAGAGCATACTGCCACCATACCCGGATGTCCTCAATACGATGGTCAAAATATGGCGGTATGTCAGTGTATGGCTTCGTTGTCTTTTTGAACGGTTGGACGGATTTTACCTTCTCTTGTCATGTCGTCCTTCTAGTCCAGTCCCCCATTGGTTCCCGGGGGCGGGGGGATATGTTTGCATGTTTGCACTCTGTCCGTCAGTCCTTCCTGTCCTTACGTCCTTCCGCCAAAGAATTTTGTCTGGGACATATATTCTATACTATTTCACCTGGAATAACCAGATTAGGTGTACAAGGAAATCTTGTGATGGTTGAGTGTAGAGTGCAAGAATTAGGTCACTGTGACCTATGACTTGACCTTTGACCTTTACTTTAGAAGATGTTTGTCCGAGCATGTCTTGTATACTATTTCACCTGAAGTAACCATATTTGGTGTACACTGACATATTGGGATAACGGAGTGCAGAGGGCAAGAATTAGGTCACTGTGACCTATGCTTTGATCTTTACTTTCAAAAATGTTTGTCTGGGTCATTTTTATGTGACTATGACCTCACTGTGGCCTATGCTTTGACTTAAACTTTTGAAAAAAAGTTTGTCCGGGGCATATCTTCTAAACTATATCAACGGCTGTAACCAGTTTTGGTGGAAAGATCATTGATTTTGGCAACAAAACAATTTCACCATTACAATGATGCCTTTAATGTTGTATTATGTATTAGGATACTTTCCTAACAGTAAGTACTGTACATCCTGACATAAATGTACTGTTAATTAAATATAAAAATCAATACCGGTCGGGGACTATGGATTGCCTTGTAATACTTTGCCTTGTTTTTCTTTCTTTCTAGACGTACGTTTGCATGTTTAGGGGTAAAGTAAAATGAACGTGCATTCATTGTTTCCCACTGCATGGTCATGTGTGACGACTTTAGTGGGCCCTGCAAAATCAAAAAGTTTCTTCTGTTCCTTTTGTTTATGGGGCATTGGCAAAAACCAAAATTAATCAGCTGCCTTTGTTGCAATTCTTGAAGCTTCTATCTTTACTTTGTCCAAAATCCGAAATTTGTGATGACTCCCTAAGGTCTCTGGATATTTCCTCTTAAGAATAGTGTGACTGGGTGGTGTGTCGTGCAGTCGAAGGATATAATGTTTGTTAAAGTTACCTTATCATATTTGAAGGCCGTTTTTTCATGACCTTAGCAGTTGCAAGGACGAAATCCCGTGACGAAAGGCGACCATTCTGTCGTACCGTTCCATTTTTTTTCTACAGTCCTTATCATTTTTGTAATTGTGTCCGCTAAACCAGTCCGTTAGTTTTAGTCTACTTTCCAATAAATCAGAAAGTATCTCACCAAATGTGTGTTTGGTATGCTGAGTTTTTGCTAAATATAAACTAGCTGATGTCTCCTTAAATCGTGATAACAACAGAACGTATATTTGTGGGTTGGTTTGGACATTGATAGTGTAATATACTAAGGAGTACAGTGTAGCATCAAAAGCATATGATAGAATATTGTCTTACAGCGATGCGATATAAGCCTATAACTTATTCAAAAGTTAGGCAACATTGAGTGTGGTCAGTGGCTGGAGGGGTTGCTGGAGGGGTGCCAGCTCGCGTTTCACATTTGGTGGCAGCGGTGGGATACAGGGGTCCGATGTAAGGCCAATTCCCAGTGGCTGAGAATTGACACTGGAATGGCCCATGGGATACCCCAGGCCGAATCTCAGAACAAGACTTCTCGGAGGGGGATAGTGTAATAGCTAAGGATTATAAGGGGAAACTACTGCCATGCTGGCAAGTTACCTTTTCCAGCGATGCAGTCGGAATAACACTGGAACGCGCTCAGTAGATAGGTTGTCTTGATCAGTAGTTTATTATATGTTTCTTTATGATATACATGTATTGCAATACTTCAGTATTTTGTCATACGTTACTATCAAATTGCGATTTACATAAATGCTTGTAAACAGTTCTACTTCCATTTCAAAAATCAATGTGGACATGCATAGTATTTTCAGTGCTTTCTGGTACGCGGGATAAACATCATTTAAAAATATTGATTCAATCAAGATTGATATGCCTTGTTTCTGATTGGAATAATTTGACAATCTCGGAATGTTAAGATACGATCGATCACTAAATGCATACAGCGAATGAAGAGAATATTTCCATCCGCACTTTATTCCTTATAGACTGCATGTATGGTACTAGCAGTTGTATATTGTCTTATCTGTTTCACAGAACTGTTTGTCAGCGTGTGTTTGTGAGGACTCTCTGAACAACACCTACTCCTGTATAGTGGGCGGGGAGGAGGGACAGTTCTACAAGTACTGTAGGCTGCAGGACGATGAGGTAGGAACTTATCTACACTGTCTACCTCTTTATGAATTCAAATTCAAATTCAAAATCGTATTTGCACATTTGTAACTACAAAGTAGTTTGAAGGCAAAATAGAAAAACACAGTGCATTATGTGTGTATATTATTATGATATGTTGAGCATGGAATATTTTGCTGTTTTATTGATTTTTTCTATCAAGCTCTATAACTTAAAATGCAAAAGTATTTAACTATACGTATTGTTTAAAAATAATCAGTAAAATTTCAGATTATTATCTAGATAAATTATGTTTTATTATAATTGAACGAAACACAGTCCTGCTTCCATCTTTTCCATTTTGAAATTGATCTTATTCTTGTGATATTTTCATTTCAGAATTTTGAAGAGTACTACGATCTGCTTGTTGATGTCAGTGAACTTAGAAATCTCGCACCTGTAATCAAAAACAACGTTTCTCTTTATGATCACGTGACCAGAACTTTGTCACACTTAGTTCAGTGCGCGGGACCCTCGTGTTCACGAATCCCCGAAAAGGAGCGTCCTTGTGACGTCAAACAGACATATTTAAATGTATTTACTTATATATTTGAATTGATACAGTCAATGTTCAACTTATATTGAAACATAAATACAAAAAAATGTGTTTTCTGAAGATTGATAACCCGAGTGGTATAGTATACAAATGTGTAAATATATCACTTATGCTTCATATATATATAGTCTAAATTCTGGCACACAATGTGTGTTCATTGTATTTGTGAATAAAGTTTAGTTCAATATAAGTGTCAGTTTTATTTACTTTATTTATTTATTTTTCAATAAAAATTCAAGAATGGTCAAACTCCTATTCTGTGCTCAAACCCATTTTGTTTTGTTTTGGTAATACAATGTAACTGAATTCAAATTTTACATTTGTTTTAATGATTTGGACTTAAGACTTTCATCTTTGTCATTTTTCATTATAAAACACTGCAGTGAAGATTTATATTTTTAACACGCTGATAATTTATGATATCTAACGGGTATACCTGTTACATGAATTAAAATTCAACAAAGCCCGCTGGTTTCATATAGAGTCTAGAACAGTTTAGCGCCGTATCTATGTACGTTCTAGATAGAATAAGTCAATTTAAGACGCTTTACAACCCCGTAATATACATATTGAATCATAAATTCAATTAATACAACCAACAGTCCTGAATGAAAATCCCGAGGAGCTACGTCGTCAAGTGCCGAGTACAGCTTTCTTCTGCCACCATGACTGGTGTGCGTACCTCTTTGAGTGTGCAGTGTTCTGTAATAAGGTGGGATCATATTTCTGTTACATAGCAGATGACAGAAGAAATCGAGAGGATCGCAAACTACGACAGGACAGAGCAAAGAAGAACATCTTATACCAATCATTCTTCCCAAGATTCACTAAAGAATCAATAAAACAAACTACCAGAAAAGTTGTGGAGGTAACGACTTTGGAAGACTTCATGGCCTGGTTGAGCAGCATTCCCTGGCCCCAGTCACACCAACTCTAGTATCATCTTTAGCCCAGTGTGTATAGTTTTAACTTTTAGATTAACTATTCTCTTTTACCCTGTTTTAATTGGAGGCGTCATATTGTCTCGAGCTGCGCCGAGTCAATAACACTCAAGCTGAGTATGACTTGTATCAGGAAGAAGTAGAAAGCTAAACAAAGCTTACACACATTTTCTGGCTATGGTTATTGCGTTTACTTTTGGGCTATTTGATAGTAGGCTTAATATAAAAACATATCGCCCATGTTATGATGTTTTCAGTAAACTCATGTAAAGAGTAGTAAGTATAATACACAATAAACAGTTTTTTTTGCAAAACTAGCATTTTCACAATTTCCCGCCAAGTAATATTTTAGTCACGTGACATGCACTCATCGCCCAAATCAATGAAAATTAGTAATAATGACTAGATACATATGTTGAAACTTACTGACAGCCATATCCTTATTTTTTTCAGAATACTGATTTTTAAATGTCATAATATTTGTTCCTTGATAGACTATTTTCCCAAAACTATATCGCTTAAGCTCTTGCTCATTGGAGTCGTCTGCCTGCTGCCGGATTGCCAACAGCATCCCTCAAGGAACACGGCCAGACTTTCTCACGGCAAGTGATCGAGGTGTTGTAACTTGAAAGTCTATTTTAAAACATGAGAACTTAATACGACCCTTAAACGCTAAATATACGCAACTTTCACTGTCATATTATATATATCGTGCATCTTGTGACAACATTATACAGTATCCCCCTCATCCCCCCTTCCCGACCCGTTCTTATGTTTACAAAATGACATATATCTGACAAAACATGTATTGATAAAATATTAATATTGTCATCAAATGTAGATACATTATTAATCTGGCTTAAGTAATTCCAGTTGTGCTTACTTTCTTGCCCCCTCCCCCTCCCCAATGATAGCAACTGGCAGGCACACTGCTATCAAAACAGACAAATGAGATAATGGTACTGTATCTAAGAAGCATCCGCGATTTCGTACTCATATCGGCAGAAAACTGTTGAAATTACGGATGACTGTCATCAACATTTATACAATCTACTAATGGAAACAAAAAAAACTAGCAACTTAAAACTACTTTTAAACATATGTTTCCGTGTGTCTATTTTGATTTAGTGTTCGAAGAAAGATAACTCGAATACAATAAAAAGAAATTCTCTACAGTGACCTGCAAGAACAAAAGCTTCGTTTGGAATGAAAAAACATCTTTAATAGTCTAATCAATTATCAAGACAACTTTTTTAAATTTCACATTTTTAATTGATTTTTCAAGATGTCAAATTGATCGAATTCATGTATTTTTTTAAAATTATTTATTATATTTATTTAGTTATAATAAAGAATCTGTTATTTTTTTCTTTTCTGCAGCTTTATATCGGTTTTGGTTGATGGTAAGTTATTTCTCAATTTGTTCTGTTTAAAATTGGTGAAAATTGGAAGTTCATTGCATTACAACGTTTACGTTTTATTAAAAACACTGTTTATCAATATAAGAATGTCTCCTTGGCTATTCGGAATTGGAAAAAAATCGGCAAGGAGATGTGGCATCATTTGCATACGATCTTTTCGTACGTTTGTCAAACTACAAAAAAAGACCACTTCATGAATGAAATGTATCACCGTTTTTTCAGGTATGGGCTCATTTTGAGCAAGATAAAAAGTGTTCTTTTAATCGGTGATTATTTCTCATGTTTCCGGACAAACTTCCGGTAATTTTTGTGTCAGTTTACAGACGATGGCCAAACGTCTAAAATATCATTGTGTTGTGTCCAGCAGGTCAAGTAGTTACAAGATATAGCTTGATAAAATGGCTGCGCAGAAATACATAACGCGCGGAAACTGATGACTAGACGATATATTTTGCAGAAAGAGGTGAAGAGATACGGACGTATTAGTTCAGAGTGACCAATGGACCCAGGAAATGGCAGATTTCAATAGCCATGGAAATATAGAGAGGGGAAAGGAATCTAGTGGTAATACTTATACTATATAGTATGGAGTGCTCTGTAATTGATCAAACTTTTCTATAAACACCACTAATTGATTTTTTTTAGAATGGACTGCTTACAGAGGTGTGGTTCTTATTATGATACAGTGTCAAATTTAGTAGTAGGGGCATATATGAGTTATGTTACAAGACTCGTTGCAATATTTTAACCTCACTGGCATTTGTTCCTCAAATTAATTTGCAAGTATATATTATCAGTACATTAAATATGGGTATTAAAGGTATGTTTTCTTTTATTTAAGAATCTGTAGATTGTTATTTTGAAATCATATTCTGAATTTCTTATCCCAACCCTGACAAGTGAAATTTCAACAATTTTCTTTTTTGTTGCAGAAGTGAAGACTGATGTGAAACTTCTGCTGGAATGTCTCCAATATCAAGCTGACAACTCTGCAGCTACTAAACAAGCCCTTTTTACGTTGGCCTCCATCTTTTCTAACTATGGTATTGTTATTAATGTCATATTGTTATACTTATAATACTGATTTAGTGGATAATGGGTGAGCACACTTTGTGTGTCTGTTCGATATCTCGAGTAATTTTCAAGGAATTATAACTTGAAACATCATGGGAAGCTTAATTACCAGAATAGCTACTTCATGGGAAGCTTAACTACCAGATCAGCTAGGACAAGTTTGTTAACCAACATTATCTGACTATAATTTACTGAGTTATGCCCCTTTCATCAATTGCTGAATTAGATTTCGCTCAATATCTGGAGTAATTTTAAACAAATTTACTTAAACTTAATGGGAAGGTTAATGACAATAAGAGCTCAGACAAGTTCAATAACCACCATTATATTGATTCTGTGCAAAATATTATGTGTAGAAAACAAATACTTCAACTCCTGAACTTGTGTATCAATTGACCATTCATTAAAAGTGGTACCCTAAACAGGAATATTGTGTGATGAGAAGTTATTGTAACTCTTTGAACAAGCACTCTTTACTGTTGATCACTATTTGTTGGTTTATTACATTGCAGAAGGAGCAAAAGATCATTTTCGTGGCATTGGCGGCCTAAATTATGTTTTCAACATTATAACATCTACAACGAATTCGGAAGTGCAGGAATCAGCATTTTATTGTTTAGGATGCTGCATAGAAAATAATGGTATGTTTACATTTCATTTTAATAGGGCTGTGGGGCGTGGTAAAAAAAGATAACTTTGCTATATTGCTTTAAGCGACTTCTTTTATGGAACTAAGCGATGTATATCAACCATATTTGACTAGAAGCATTCCTAGGTGTCGGGGATTCAAAATTGTATAAATGGTGGGGCTGACCATTACGATTCAAAGTTGTAAAAATGGTGGGGCTGACCCCCCAGGGGGTTGAGGGGCGGGGCCAAAAAATGTTTTTTGGTTATAAAGGTTTAAGAGACTTCTCCTCTGGAACTAAGTGATGGATATCAACTATATTTTGTTTGAAGCTTCCCTAGTTGTTAGGGATTAACAATTATACAAACTGACAAGCTGACCCCATGGGCAAAGGGGTGGGGTCAGAAATAGTTTATAACTTGGCAAAGGTTGAGAATCCTACCCTATAACCACATTATACAAATACTGAGTATAAAGAGATGAATGCACATATAGTTCCAGTATGACCCTGGGGTCTGGCCCCACCCTTGGAGACTTAGTCCCTGGGTCATAACTTTGAAACAGTTGAGATCCCCACCCTAAAACTATATATACGATTGCTGGGCATTAAGAGACGAACACAATCATGATATTAGCTTTGACCCTTGGATCTGGCCACAACCCTAGGCCTAGGGACCTAGTTTCTAAGTCATAACTAGGAAACAGTTGAGATCCCCGACCTATAACTATATATACAATTGCTGAGTATAAAGACTTAAAAGAGATGAATGCACATATGCTTCCAGGATTGCCCTGGGGTCGGCCACACCCTTGGAGACTTAGTCCATGGGTCATAACTTTGAAACGATTGAGATCCCAACCCCAAAACTATATAAACAAATGCTGGGCATAAAGAGGCAAATGCAGTCATGATATTAGAATTGATCCTGAGGTCTGGCAACAACCCTAGGGACCTAGTTTCTGAGTCATAACTTGGAAACAGTTGAGGTCTCTACAACATAACAATACATACAATTGCTTGGCATGAAAAATATAATACAGATATGCTTCAAGAATTAGGCCCTATCCCTTGGATCTGCTTAGATATCCAGGTGAGCGATACATGCCCTCTGGGCCTCTTGTTTGAACTTTATTGAAATAGTTTATATACATAAACTCTACTTTTAATTACACATTTTAAAAGCTAGTCTCAATATATATATATCAAACTAAGAACCAGTGTAGTACTGTATATTTTGTGTGTTGCTTGGTTGTAGTCTTCTGCCAAAAGTGCCTCACCTCTTCCGGTGTGTTTGAATACCTCCATGGAATCCTGTCAAATACACAATGTCCCACAAGGCTCAAACAAACAGCAACTTTCTTCCTTCTCAACCTTGTTTCCAACAATGGTAAGTATATACACACATTGACTATACTCTGAAATATAGCTGTATTCAGTGTAAGTCTCAAATGATGCATGTGGTACATGTACATTCTTGATTTTCTGATGATATTTTGTATAAAATTGAGTAATTTTCTACTAATGATTTATTACTGGTAGCATGAACAGTCTTCAGCTATCAATAAATGTCTTATGGGGCTCATTATGATGTGATATATATTTCAGCTGAACTGATATCTGTTTGAATTTATTGTCAGGTCAAGGACAAGCATTGGTGAGGACTTCAAGATGTTTATCAGATTTGTTGCAACTCTTACGGTAAACAAAACAAAATTATTTAGTCTTATTATGAATTTCATATGGCATGTCACATTTATGTAAGCCAATAGTGCAAAAATAGGCCTGCAGTCAGGATAACCCAACATATAGTGTCACATGCTCAAATAACTAGAATGTATTTGAATAGGTCACTTGTATAAAAAATAGCATTCACTGTGACATCACATGTAACATTATGGTGATCTCATGTATGTGAAAGGTTTAAGTTGTGTTACTTTTCGGTGGGTTTTTTTCTGTCTGCACTTGACAAATTGTATCCGTATAGTTCATTCATGAAATATTTTTAGATATAAATGGAAACTTGTTTGTGATACATGTACAGCTAAAATTGACTTTGTGGTTCATGTACAATTTGAACTGTCATAAGTTAACACACTCTAATAGAATAAAAACCACTGCATCAGTGCTTCCCTCCTTAATTTTACATCAACCTACAATTTAGCTGTCCCTAGATGAATTTTGAATATATTGCACTACATGTATTTGTATTAAAATTAGGAAGATATAGCTCTTTTTGTCGGGTGGTGCAGTGGATAGTGCACTTGCCTTTCACCAATGCGGCTGGGGTTCGATTCCCTGATCGGATGTGAAGAGGTATGGGGTCACCTGCCCGACCACATGGGTTTTCTCAGGGTACTCCGGTTTCCTCCCAAACAAAGACCCTCTGCGCGCTAAAATCCGGGCCAATAAGAGTGATTAATATAAGTTGAATAACTTGTTTCATAATTGTTGTAAAATAAATAAATTTGTCTTCATTTTGGGAAGATAAAGCACTTTTTTGCTAGGGGAAGCAGCATGCATGGCTTCAACTGTAGGTGAAGAAAATATATCACTGAAGATATACAACAACTATTACAGGTTGCACCTTTTCATTTGTCTATACTACAGTATTAACAGGAGTCAACTTTATCTTCCATGATGTTTAGAACATTGTAATTCCTGTGTTTGAGTAGGCAATACAATTGAGTACTTTGAATTTGTTTAATTAAAACACCTTGATGTACAATATTGTATTCTTTTTATGAAATATTGATTTGCAGTAAAACTTTTCCAAAGACCGAAGTGTTTAACAGACAGGAATCTACCGAGTCTTGGTTTGAAGATGTAGGGATGACCAGTTTGGAGTTGTGGTCAAGTGTTGCTAGCACACTCTGCATGTGTGTCAATAATCCACGCAACGGTACCTTTTTTCAACTTTTTGTGGACCGTTTTTAGCTCATCAGGTCTGAAGGACCGAGGTGAGCTTATGCCATATTGTGGCGTCCATTGTCTGTCTGTCGTCCGTCGTCTGTAGAACTATGCACTGGATATCAATTAATGGCAGGCGGGGATTCAAAATCAACCATATTTGACTGGAAGCATCCCTAGGTAGTGGAGATTCAAAATTGTACAAATGATGGGGCTGACCCCCAGGGGACTGAGGGGTGGGGCCAAAAGGGGGCAATTTGGCTTTATTGCTACAAACGACTTCTTCTGTAGAACTATGCACTGGATATCAATTAATGGCAGGCGGGGATTCAAAATTGTACAAAATTGTGGGGCTGACCCCTAAGGGGATTGAGGGGCGGGGCCAAAAAGGGTTATTTGGCTATATATTGCTTTAAGCAATTTCTCTGGAACAAAAAGATGGATATCAACCGTATTTGACTTGAAGCATGCCTATATAGGTAGTGGGGATTCAAAATTGTACAAATGGTGGGGCTAACCCTACAGGGGGCTGAGGGGCTGGCCAAAAGTGGGCAATTTGGCCATATTGCTATAAACGACTTCTTCTGTACAACTTTGCACTGGATATCAATCATATTTGGTCAGAAGCATTCATGGGAGGTGGGGATTCAAAAATGTACAAATAGTGGGGCTCACCCTCCAGGGGGCTGAGGTGCGGGGCCAAAGAGGGTTATTTAGCCATATTGCTTTAAGCGACTTTTTCTCTAGAACCAAGAGATGTATATCAACCATATTTGACTTGAAGCATATCCCTAGGTAGTGGGGATTCAAAATTGTACAAATGGTGGGGCTAACCCTACAGGGGGCTGAGGGGCTGGCCAAAAGTGGGCAATTTGGCCATATTGCTATAAACGACTTCTTCTGTACAACTTTGCACTGGATATCAATCATATTTGGTCAGAAGCATTCATGGGAGGTGGGGATTCAAAAATGTACAAATAGTGGGGCTCACCCCTAAGGGGGCTGAGGTGCGGGGCCAAAAAGGGTTATTTAGCCATATTGCTTTAAGCGACTTCTTCTCTAGAACCAAGAGATGTATATAACCATATTTGACTTGAAGCATATCCCTAGGTAGTGGGGATTCAAAATTGTACAAATGGTGGGTTTGAAGCTCCCAGGGGCTGAGAGGCGGGGCCAAAAGTGGGCAATTTGGCCATATTGCTACAAACGACTTCTTCTGTAGAACTTTGCACTGGATATCAATCATATTTAGTCGGAAGCATTCATGGGAGGCGGGATTCAAAATTGTACAAATGGTGGGGCTGACCCCAAGGGCTAAGGGTTGGGGTAAAAAAAAGTTTATTACTTGGAAATAGTTGAGATCCCCACCGTATAACCACATATACAATTGCTAAGTATAAAGAGAAGAATGCACATATGCTTCCAGGATGGCCCTGGGGTATGGCCCCACCCTTGGTGACATAGTCCCTGGGTCATAACTTTGAAACAGTTGAGATACCCACCCCAAAACTATATATAGAAAGTCTGGGCATAAAGAGACGAATGCAGTCATGATATTAGAATAGACCATTGGATCCTAACGAACCCCTAGGGACCTATAAGTTACTGAGTCACAGCTTGGAGACAGTTGAGATCCCCACCCTATAACCATACATAAAATTGTTGAGTATAAAGAGAGGAATACATATACGCCTTCCAAGATGGCCCCAGGGTCTGCCACACCCTTGGAAACTTAACCCCTGGGTCATAACTTTGAAACGGTTGAGATCCCCACCCCAAAACTATATATACAAATGCTAGGCATAAAGAGACGAATGAAGTAATGATATTAGAATTGATCCTGGGGTCTGGCCACAACCCTAGGGACCTAGTTCCTGTCATAACTTGGAAACAGTTGAGATCCCCACCCTATAACCATACAAAAAATTGCTGGGCATGAAAAATCTAATACAGATATTCTACAAGGTTTATGGCCTTGGGGTCTGGCCCATTCCCTTGGATCTCTTTTGGCGAATATTTTACCATGATTGCTTAGATATCCAGGTGAGCGTTACAGGCCCTCTGTGCCTCTTGTTTACATTGACTTGTCTATTTTGATTTCCTCCCTCAAACTTAAGTCTTTTCCTTTCCATTTAAATAACTCTGAAAACAATATTTTGAAAAAAAAATGAAATGAATTTTACTCAAACGTAACTTTAACAGTTCTTAATGGATGAAAAGAATTTGAAATCTGCTAATATGAAGTGTGCTTAAATGTTTAGCATCAACTGATGGTTTACAAATGACTATAGACAGCTAATCTATAGAAGTAATTTTGCATCATTTGTTTGAATATTGAAATATTTCTTTATTGTTTTCTTTTAAAGATGAGAACCAGGGCCGATGTGGACTTGAGCTGGGGTTTATGTTCAGCCTCATACAGCACTGTGACAACCCCTCTGTTCTACGACCTCTCTTATCCCTTGTGGGATTCTCTGTTGCAAGCAATGGTAGGACACAACTATTTAGAGACCCAAATTAACTACCTTATACATTTACTCATCTTAACTACAGGAAATATCTACATGGATTTGCAATAACTATGTACATGTATACACTAGGAGAATTATTATGATGAAGTTAATAATTTGAATTACATTGTATTCACTTCACTCCATTTGCTATACTGTCCATTTAATGTAAATTTTCATTAAGGATTCACTCTGCAGCAAATTTGAAAAGGTTGGACATTGATAACATTAAGGTATGGTTTCTTTATAGCTCGCAATCAGGACCAAGTCCGGCAGTGTGGTGGACTCTTGGTCCTCATTGCCCGGCTCAAGGTCGCCTTGGACTTGGCTTTGTGTCAGAACTCGGAGACCGACTCTCGCACGGAACATATAAACCTTGCAGTTACTATTGCAAGAACCATAGATTCTTGTATACTTGACAATGGTTGGTGTATTTTGTATATATATAAGTGTAATTATGTCTCTCATTGTATCATGCTCTACATTGTATTACATTATATCAATATATTCAAAATGATTGAAAAAAGGGTTCTTTATGAGTTCTTTATGTGGTATGATGATAGCTCTATATATAAAATGCAGATGCACAAGCAACTACAAAAACAACAGCATGTAATATTGGTTTTAATGTAGAGAATAACTGGAAATTCAAGTGTCATTTGTCAGAATGGTGTGGCATGTATTGATATGAATAAAGTATCCTGAAATCATAATTATTTTCAGCATGAAATGTACTTTCCACTGAATTACTGATACCTGTTACAAAAAGTGAAGCAAAATTATTGAACTACTGTATAGCGCTTTAAGTTTGCTGGGTCAATATTTTGTGGTTTCGTATTCAGTACATATTCGCAGGGGTTAAAATTTGCTGTGCGCCCGAATCCCATGTGTCATGCAAATTATTTTGTGTGTCAACATTTAAGGATTAAACTTCGAAATACAGGTAAACCTTTTAAAAACACTGATCCTGAGTGTTGGCATCCGTCAGTGACTTCACTCGAAAATGAAATGTGTATGTATCTTGGTAGCAGTAAACTCATCAATTATTCACCTACTGTGTACACATGAATATGTTGTGGCCACTTATATGCAAGTGTTGTTTTATCATGGACTGCCCAGTTGTCTGGTGATAATCTGATTTGAGGCGATCATTTAAGGTTGCATAACAGCATTGGGTTATAAGTAGTTTCAACATGTTGTGATAAGGTCTGTAAAAGTGGCTAACATTTTCGATAATTTACCTGGTGTTTAGAATTTGCGGATATTAGTCAAAGCGCAAATATAGCGAAATTAAAACCCCTGCAAAATATAACCACATTACAGTACTTATAATATAAATAGTTGTCAGTCGCCGACTTTCTTTTAAAAGACTCCAATAGGCTCCAACATCTATCTGTTATAGGAAATGAAAGTAAATCTTTTTAAAATCTCATCCTTATATGTATGGGTACTTGACAACTTTCAACATGCATCACTGCCAATTTTGACAAAATTTGACAAATGATCCCTCACACTTTAACCAAAAATGACCAGACTGCCATTACATGCTGGGAAAAACAAAATAAAAATAAAAGTGAATTTCCATGTACACTTTTTGTCAATGCAAATTTCAGCTGAGAATGCGGAAGATTTGGGAAAAGGTGATGCAATACCATCATTGCTAGAATTACTGCTATTGGGATCCCTGAGGCAGGAGGACAAGCTTCAAGTGGTGCTGACACTGGGACATATGCTGGAACTGTCCTGTAAGTAGAATAAGAAAGATATCAACTTTCATTAAGAGATGGACAATATGTATTTTTGCTGTAATCTCTTCCTTAGACAGTTTTTGCTCTCAATATATACTTTTCTACCCAAGTGGCTTATATATATAAAAAAAATGTGATGTATCTAATGGATTTTGGGAATAATGGTTTATAAAGTCAGGACAGTTTGTGTCTCATAGGGGGGAAATGCCTATACATTTGTATAAAACAGCAATATTTGTATTTTGTAGCATTTTCTTCAGAGTGGTAAATATATTTCATTATATCATCAGATCATATAGAGCATAATGCCCTATATGAACCTGCAGACAGAAAATATTATATGTACTAGGCAAATGCAGTGATTTTCAAGTTGTTCTGTATTTTAATAAATATATATATATATGGAAGTTGAAATATACAATAAGTTCATTCTATAATTATATCAAGAGAATTATGAATATGTTAATACATGTACCCATTTTTTTTTTCTATTGATCTGTTCAAAATCATCCCTGTCATTCATTAAACTCTGTGGATGGATTATATTCTGACCGGGGATTGCATACAACTCTTATGGTTGTACACCCTAACGCTTCATAGCAATAATTGAAAGATGGACAAAATCAATATACTACCTAGAAATTCTTCTGTTTGCAAAACTTTATGAAGGATGAATAATTTTTACGATACTTTGTAAATGGTTGCGTCATGACTAGAAGGTCTCATTGATAAGTGTAACTCACGTCAGGTCTATATCTCCATGATCAAGGTGACAGCAAGATGTATAGGTATATGTATCATGACTAGATAAATCTACTTTTGTTTTCAATATGATACATTTTGGAAATGAAGGTTGTATAAACACATAATATTGTTTTTCTGGATTATAATTTAGTTCTGAATCACAGAATATTATTTACGGGGTTAATGAAACTTCATAGATATGTGTATCATGATGACAGTGTGTCAAACGTATACGTTGCTTTATATTTGATGACATTTTCTGCCCAGGTGAGAACAGGATTAAGATTGATGCAGTCACTGGCCTTCCAGATCTAGTTAAGCTTCTCACAGACTCTGAAGATGAAGAATTCTCAAAGGCTGTTAAATATCTTCTTCAAATGTGTGTTGCCAAAAGTATGTAAGATTGAATGAAATTTTTCATCGATGACAATATTCATAAGAATCTATTTATATGACATCTTAGATTAATTTCTACTTTGATCATTTCTATCTCAATATTACAATGCTTGTTTTGACATAAAATTCTTTAAAAGCAAAAATATATATCGGGAAATATTTCAATAACTAAAATCTCTCTTTATTTTGCTGTGAAGATTTCTGATGACCTCAAGATTGTTTTTTTTAGATGAAAAGAATTTTCTGGAATCAAAGGAAGAAGATCTTGATGCTGCCAGGAGGTAACCATTTTGAGGAGAACAAGTTTATGTTATCCACCAATTACAGTCTGATGGTCAGAGGGTGTCATTATTTTTGTTGGAATTTTTTTTACGACTCCTTTACATTTTATGAGAGTATTGGTTTAGGGTTTGTTTAATTAAGTCATTCAGACAATTGTAATATAGATATACCATAAGGACCAAAGTAATGTTTTCTCTGAACATCACTAGTTTGGCATCAATTTTGGGCTCCAGTGAAGGGAATCGGCATTGTCTTTGCTTCAGTCTATATGCAAACTATATTTGGTACATTTAAGGGTAATGGCTGCCTGATATTTGCTTGATGGAAGAGTTAATGAATTTAACATTTCTAAAAACAATATAACTTTAGCCAATTGAATATAAAACATTTCACTTGCAAAAACAATGGGATAATTATGATGTTTGTTTGGCATCTTGTGTCATTGCAAAACAACTTATAAATTAGTCATGATGAAGAGTCTGTCTTGTCAAGATATAGACACCATGTGGAAAGGATATACTTACAAACATATTTATGTGATTTACTGAAAACCGATTTGAATAGATATAGTGTATAACTGTTGGTCTTAATTCCAGAGAAAATGGAAAGAAAATGTTGCTGAAAATTGATGAAATAAGTGAAAGATTGAAAGTAATTGAAAAAGAAGCTGAAGAAAAAAGCTTGGCCTTACAGCAAACTGGACAAGGAAAAGAACCTGTTAAGGAGAGAGGCTGTGGTATTCTTTCTGCAACACCATACAAGAACAATCTCCTTTTTCAATTACAACAGGTAAATACATTTTCATTCTATAAAGCTGCCCCTGACCAATGTGTCAGAACATCAGATCATTCATTCAGAAAATGACTGAGGTCTAATATTGCCTGTGACTGTAAAGCAGCTGTATACAGTTGTATGTTTATATTATAATATTTGGAAGCAGTCCAGGTTCTGCTACACGTATCATAAAATGTCTTCTAACTTTAACAATATCTTCACTTTGATATTCTAAAATTTCAACATTCCTGTCAAAGGTTTCATGGTGTGTAGTTATCAGGTTCATTTTGTGAAAATAAATAGCCTGGTACAGCGTATATTTAAAATGAATTATAATTATATGTTATATAATGTTGATTTTGTAATACATGTACATTTATTCTTGTTTCTTGCCCTTGAAATTGTGATATTTCTTGAGTTAAAATGGAAATTTACTTCTATCCATAGGAAAGAGAAGAGAGAAAAAGGATGGAATCTATTGCTTTTCGAATGCATGTTCCATCGCCACATGTTCAGCAGTATGGTTTAGAACCAAGGCCATGTTTGTCGGAGGAAAATTTCCCGGTCCACAGAGGAACCTTTATAGAATCTGATAGACAAAGACTGCATCATCAGTCATTGTGTTGTAGTACGCCGGATAGCTCCTGCCATAGAAAAGGTTTTGGACAAAATCCTAACATGTACTGTGTGAACAACTGCCCAGAGTATACATGTGGAAATCAGGATGTTGATTGTCATTCCTCAGCAGGGCATGGGTCCCATTTCATAGGACCTGATGGAACTGCTAGACTATGCATGCCAAATCATCAAACTACACAAGATAATTCTGGGAAAATAACATCTGTACAAGATACAAATGCAGCTTATGAACCAAAGCATCATCATGTTGATCTGAAGCTAAACATGCCTTGCAGCACTACACAAGTGAAAGCCTTCTCCCAAGATTTGACTCCATTAAAGAAGTGCATCTTAGATCATAGAGGGGACAGGAATAGTGATTGTCAGTGTCCAGAAAGATATGGGAATGAGTTGTGTTCTACTTTAAACATTGATACAGTTGAATTTAACCATGAAAATAAAGGCCCAAAAACTGTCAGAGGAATTGACCAAGTGACTGATGTTACTACAGATAACAGCCGTTGTGAGAGTGCAGGTAGGAACACTCTTGGGAAGGAACTGGCTAGCTCCAATACATATCTTAATCAAGGTCTTAAAGGATTAGAAAGAATTGATAAAGGAAAGGTATCCGAGGATCTGACCATCAATCAAATGATGGTGACATCAACCTCTGCCACAGACATACCCAAGATGTCAACCTCAAGTGATCAATTCACAGATCATGGTATGCTTAGAAATTCAACCAGTACTCCGAAGAATTCCAAGACAACTTCTTTAATTAGAAACTCAACAGACATTCACTCTCAGTATCAGAAAACCAGGACAAGTGTCTCTAGCAATGTGTCTACTGACAGGTGTTCATTGAACAACTCAAGTACTAGTAATGAACACAACTCTTCTGTGAAAAAGTCATGTAATCTCACAAAAAGGGATGATGTGTTTGTCAAACCGAAACCTCCTACAGTGGCTGGTTGCTATCAAACACCAGTACGGCGCCCTTCCAATACAAGAATGACCCGATCGCTGGGTAGCAAAGACAGGCCAAATATGTCGGTCAAGTTGGGAGTTTCATTGCATTCAAAATCAACTATTGCAGATTCATATCCTGATTCTGACTGCAGCTCTGTTCTAGATACAAATTCAGAATTTGATTTAGATTTAGTGAAGACTGCCAAGAAAAACAGATTAAATCAAACTGTAATTCAAAGGAATTCTTTTTCACAAAATATATGCTATAGTGTGACTCCAATAAAACGGAAGTCACTACCTATCAAAGAACTTCAGAGAGAGAACGACAGGACTAGAATACGAGAGGACCGACCAAATGTGGGGAGTACGCCATGCAGTGTAAAATCTATTGATAGGATGACAGATCATTTCCATGATGAGAACTACTGTGAAAATTACTCTGACACATTTTCCAGTGTTGAAGGTAATGATTTGGCTATAGAATATGTTACAATGTAATACACATATGCTTGAAGGTTAAGGTTGCATATATACATATATTTGTGGTAAGACCACTTAATTGTTAGCTCACCTGGCCTGAAGGACCAAGTTAGCTTATACAGTGGCGCAGCGTCCGTCGTCAACTTCTCCTTTAAACAACTTCTACAAAAACTAAAAGGCTTATAGCTATGATATTTGGCTGGTAGTTTCCTTGGATGGAGCCAAACAAAGTTTGGGAACAAATATGATCTTGACCCACTTTCAAGATCACAAGCGTCAAATATGTCTAAAACTCCAAACAACTTCTTCTTTAAACCAAAAGGCCAAGAGTCATGACATTTTACTAGTAGATTCCTTGGAAAGAGCCTAGCAAATTTTGCAAACAAAAATGACCTTGAGCCACTTTCAAGGTCACAGAAGTCAAATATGTTTATGTAAAAATTCATATAACTTATTTTGAGAAATGTAATACAGTCATGATATTTGGCTGGTAAATTTCTTTGAACAAGGTTGAATTTTATTTACAAAACTTATTCTGAAGAACTGAAAGGCCTAGAGTCATGAAGTTAGGATGTTTGCTAGCTTTGATAGAGCTCAACAAAGTTTTCCAGCAAAATGACCTTGAGCTATTTTTGAGGTTACAGGGATCAACTATGTCAAAAACTTCAAACAACTTCTGCTGAAGAATCAATACACTTGTTTAAAGTGTATGGTTTTTTAAATTACAATAACAAATTTCAGGTGAGCTATTAATTAAGGCCCCAGGATGATAACTTGTTAAAATAGCTACACTGACACTGAAGTGTATTTCAAAGTGGTATTTGTGTTGTCTCGGTGCCTGTGGACTAAACATTTCATTTATTTATACATTTTCTTGGCATTAATGTTACAATGTATGTACAGTGTACAGTAGTAGCACATCTAGAAGCCAAATGTTAGCAGGCCAAAGGCTTATACCATTTCCAGCCTTCTTATAACTGAAGACATTTTGATGAAATTTACACAGAATATTCATCCACATGACATTTTTTTACTTTTTTTAAAAATTCATATGTATACATTTTTAGCCCACCATCATCTGATGGCGGGATATTCAAATCGCCCTGCGTCCGTGGTCTGTCCGTCGGTCATCAATTGATGTCCTTAAAAACTTCTTGTTATCGCTATTTCTCAGGAAGGTAACCAGAGGGATCTTTCTCAAATTTTACATGTAGGTTTCCCATGGTACCTATTTGTGCATATTTACTTTAGAGACTGATCAGATAAACAAAAAGGCCGACAGGCAGCCATTAATTTGACATTGAAAGTTTTTTTTTTTAATTTCTCAGGAAGTACTGGATTAATCTTTCTCATAATCATATGTAGGTTTCCCTTGGTCTGCAGTTGTGCATGTTTAATTTTAAGAGTGATCATAAAAACAAAAAGGAAGAACTAAACAAATCTTTCTCAAATTGCAATGATCAGTTCTATTTCTTTCACATTAAGTACTGTACTAGTAAATATGTGAAATGACAAACTCACTTGGAAGGTGTCTTTTATACACAGCAGGATTAAGTTTTGATCAAATGTTACCTCATGGTGCTGTTACTGTTAACATGACTCTATCAAAGAGATAAGAGAAAAGAAGAGAATAGATCAAGCTGACAGATGGTACAATGGTGGGCGCCAAGATACCTCTGAGATCTCTTGTTTATTTAGACAGTGCTTTTCATGACCGCAAGAACCTTTCAAAGAATTATTAGATGTCTTGTGGAATAAAAATTGTACATGATACACTTATGAATGTAGCTGAAACATATTGTAGGGGTTGAAATATTGAAGATTTTGCTGTTTCATTTGAAGGATTTTTTTTTTTTACAGATGATGATTCTGACATTGAAAACTTAGAAAATTCTCGAGAAGAGAATTTGGTTTGCCTTGATAATCAGAAATTATCTGCAGAGTTGGGAGCCTCTAAATGTCCAGGTGATTATAACAAACAGAACAGAGCTAGCTATAGGCTTGCTGACTGGAGAAATGACACCTATGTGATTATAAATATATAAATCTTTAAGTACTTATATGGCTCACCCCAAAAACTGTCTTTTGCATTCTGTACTCTGCAACAGACTGAATTATTGACCTGTGATTGTGTTCATTCAGGTTGTACTATCTGGCTCAGCTCACCATCAAACAAGAAAAGGATGGTGATGAACAGCAGAACCTATAATCTACTGTTGGAGACCAGCTTGTACACATGCGAGAATCACAAAGCTATACGAGATAGTGAGAGGAAATTCATCCAGCAGACGAGGAAGAACTCTTCTTCACTTTACAAAAACAGAAGGCTCTTACCTTCCATTTCTTCATGTCATAAAGAAGATTTACAATACACAAAGAAAACCATGTCTGTGTATGACTTCATGTCCAGTGAATCAGATAGAGATGACAGGGTATGTAATATTTTTCAGGGTTAGACACTAACTTTTTATGCTTGGTAGTCAATAGGTCTAGACGAATAGATTATTTACTAGTCGTTTGTCAATGTAGCTATATAGCCCAAGATTTCCTGAAGGAAACATCGCGATCTACAGCACAAAATATAAAAAGTAATCGACTGTATCTATAGGGGGCTTAAAATAACATCTGCCATAAAAATATGGTAAAGGTTTTCGGTAAAATTTTAAATGCAATATATCTTATTCTAAGCTGTTTTCTAAATTTTAAAAAGGAAAATTCTTATTTTATAATAATATTTTTTACAAGTCCAAAGGATCAGTTAGGTTAGGTGATTCACTAGTCCTTGCTGAAATCTACCAGTCTAGGACTAGCAGACTATAGTGTTAGTGTCAATTGACCCCTGTTTTTATAAAACAGTTTCCCGATATCAAAACAGTCATTTGTACAGTTTTTGTACAGTTCATGTGCTTCGTGCACGGTATAGATTAATAACGCAATATAATGTACCTTTAACATTATATCCATAAGAAAGTTAAGATTGATAACTCTATTAATGATGGGTTTCAGAGGGCAAAAGTTCTTGTGTTCAATTGCAAAGAAGTAGCTGACTGTGTGCTTGTAATTCCTTCTCAATCCTCCACCTTCTATGAGTTACCATTTTTTGACAGGTCACACCTCCACATTCATCAACTTCCTGCAAGTACAACCTGGCAACTTTGAGGAATATGGTATCACGTCGCAATAGGATCCCTTATGCACAGGAGGAAGTGGACAACATCATTAAGGGTGTGGCACAGCTTGGTACCCGTTGGAACCAGATACTTGTGACTTTCAAGTTCCACCCCACCAGGACTGCCACTGACCTCAGAGACAAATACAAACGACTGGTGGTAAGAAATAGAATATTTGTATTAGGTGGTCGGGTGGTGCAGTGGATAGCACACTTGCCTTTCACCAAGGAGGCCGGGGTTCGATTCCCTGATCGGACGTGAAAAGGTATGGGGTCACTTGCCTGACCACGTGGGTTTTCTCCGGGTACTCCGTTTTCCTCTACATTAAGACCCCATGTGCGCTAACATCCGGGCCAACAAGAGTGATTATATATATATAGTTGAAACAGCTTTTTTCATAGTTGTTATAGAAAATATATTAAAAAAATAACTTGAAGTTTCATATTATATTATAATATTTGTACAAAATGTGCAATAATGTATCTTATGCGTAGGGTTTACATCCTTAATAACTGAAGGATTGAGACAAAAAATAATTACTTCCTTTCTATAACAGTGTTAATAATGGATAATATCAACCAAATTGCCGAGAGACAAAGATCCCACATGTATTCGTTTCTATCAAGTAATCACTTCTCAGTGTATTATCACCCTTCTGACTGAAAGTCTATACTTGGATCAAAGGCCAGTTCATTATCTTGCTACACATTGACTCAAGATTTTATTAAAAAGGTTATATATATATGTTTTTACATGTATGTTATTTGAAACTACATTGATGATGTGCCCCATTCCAACTCTGTAAAATGTTTATGCATATCATAATTATTTTCTGTCTGCAGACCTCACAAACAGATATTCAGGAAGAAACTATATCATCTGTCAGTAACAAGAATAGAAAGAAAAGAGGCAGCAAACTATTCTCTATGTGTGAGGAGCGGCGTCTTATAAGGGGAGTAAAGAAGTATGGCTACAATTGGAAGTCCATTCTCAACTCCTACAGCTTCTCAAAGGGACGTAATTCTCAGGATCTCCGCAACAGGTGGAGGAGCATGCACAAGAAAGTAACACACGTGTGATTCTCTTTTTGTTGATTCCAGAATCATTAGGACTAAGTGGCAAACCAATTCAAACAGGGTTTCAGATAATATCCAAAAGAACTTACTTTCAAATGTATTATTGTGTATGGTTGATCCACAAACAGATAGATTAGATTACCATTGTTTCAAAAGCATATGTGGAATTGACAAAGTCATGTCTAAAAGCTGAGAAGCATCCACAAAAGCATGACTTTATACAATTGAGTACAGTATAAATTAAATGAGGAAGGTTGCAACACGTGCATTTACCGAGAATAGTAACTAGGTTATGTATATAAGAGGAAAATTGTTACAGGGTGACATATGAGATTTAATGGTTGTATACCATGATACCATTATACATGTTTTATTCTGCCCGGTATAAAATATCAACAAAGAGGTTACTTTTAGAGTATTGTTTATTTATTTCTTCAATTGTTACAAATGTACATGTATCTATAAATTCATGTACTGTTCATCATTGAAAGTCTGTGATATATTCTGTTCTATTGTTAAATCATTAGCTTGAAATTTAATCATATATTTCAAAATAAGTAAGGAAGTTTAAATTACTGGTGAATCGAAGATTTTGTATACAATTGTGTTGAATTAACCATTTATTGTGATTGTGTTTAATACCAGAAGCCTACATCAACATTGTTGCTTATAGTTGTCCCCCTTGTATCAAAGGTTTTAATATGTCTTTCTTCAACTCGCCTTGTCTGATTAAGGATCAAAGTGAGCTTACTTTATGCCTAACCATGGCATCTGGGTTTTTTTCCATTAACAAATGGATTGTCTCAGAATTTAACCAATTTGGTTGGAATAAATCCATAGTTGATGGAGTCAATAAATTACAATTGTACAAAATGACCACTTCATGGAGGTAGAGCTTAAAAGATGTAATCTGACCTATTGCATTAAGCAACTTCTACTCTGGATTGATATGATAGATATAATATAAACTATATTTTGTTGGAACGGTCTTTTAAGTGGTAAATTTTCAAAAATATGCAAACCCATGGAGGACTAGGGCTGACCTCTCAGGATTTAGAAGTGGGGCAAGAAAGGGTCAAGTTGGCTATATCGATCACTGTAAACAACTTCTTCTTATGGAATGAGGGATTGGGGCTAATGGAAGCACACTTATGCAGGTGCAAATGACTCAAAAATATACAAATAAAAGGGCTTACCCCACAGGGGGCTGAAGTGGCAGGCAAAAAGAATGATTACTTAGAAATGGTTGAGATCCGGTCGATCCCCACCCTACTAATGTAGAACCACAAAATATGGTTAAACTCCTGGAGTTTCCAGTTACTCGGTTAGGTCAGCCCCAAAGAAACATATATCTTTGTGTTTTCTAATTCGTTTGTATCGGAGTATCTGAGGTATTTCTGTTGAGTCCTGGTATATTCATGATCACAATTATCAGTTCAAACAAAGTACATGACTTTAAGTCCCTGAAAAGTATTCTACCAATACTTTTGTTATTTTAAAAAGTTTGATAGTGAAATAATATATTTTTACGTTGAATATATACAATCTATACATTGTATGTACTTTGGGATTGTTTTGGTTATTAATTTATTTATCATCATAACAATGAAACTTGCCTTAAATTAAGGTATTTGATGGGTCAATAGAACGACAGCAATTGAGTAAAATATTTCTACATCATTCATCAGTACATGTACTTTTCTACATATTTCAATGAACTATTTGTGTCAGTTACATAAAAATGGAAGATCTAAATATATGTATATGAATTGTGATCTATGATTTGTTTCAAAAGAAAAACTTGTTTATGTTGTTTCTTTTGTTTGTTTAATAAACCGTTATTTGTCAATTTTTTTATGAGGGGCTTCATTATATTGAGATTGCTAAGTCAGTAGTTTTATAACATTGACCAGCTGATATTGAATATCAACTGAGCAAGTACTATACTAGATTATCTTATATAGCACTTGTTATAAAGCACATGATCAATATTCAGTATTTATTTCAAAAGAAAAGTTATATTTTGACTAAAGGATCATTATACATTAAATCACTAATAAAAAGTTATTTACAATAAATAAATACATATTGTTTCATACGAGAGACATATGTAAAAGAAATATTTGTCCCCTTTTTAAAAAAAACACCATGACATTCATATGGCCTCCCATCAGTCACTTTGCAGACAAGGTTCTCTTTATGGATGGAGTTCATCCAAACTTTTGGTAGGCTTCCATAATTACAATTCTCAGACGAGGTTTGAAGATTATGGAATCCGTGCATATTTCATAATTGACAGGGATTCCTCAATTCTGATAAGCTAATGTATATATCAGATTATAATGTCCCTAGAAATTGATAGATTTCAGTCAAACTTGGTTTATTCTTGAATAAGGATTTTCTCGGGTCTCATTTAACAAGGCATCGCAAGTGATACAAATCCCCTCCCATTCACACATTGTGACATATGTAAGAGGAAATGAATTCGCTAGAGCGATGAATACAAGTTTTTTTTCTAAAAATTGGGTAAAAAAGACCTTGACCTTCAACGCAGAAAGCCCAAAGGAGAAGTTGTTCAAGGCATTGCCATACCAAATACTTGAATGAAGTTTCATAAAATGTCATTGAGGAATGAAGACGATAGAGCGATTACAAATTGTTTTTTTTTTATAAAAATAGTAAGTGACCTTGACCTTTAACGAAGTAACCTGAAGCGCAAATTTGTTCAAGATATTGTCATACTAAAAACTGGTATCAAATTTCATGAAATTCCATTTAGTAATGAAGTCAGTGGAGCGATGACAAAGTTTTTTTTCAAAATGGTAAAAGTGACCTTGACCTTTAACGCAGTAACCTGAATTGGGAATTGCTGAAGGTATTGTCATACCAAACAATTGTATCAAGTTTCATGAATTCTGTTGAGGAATGAAGTCCGTAGAGCGATGACATAGTTTTTCTAAAAATAGTAAGAGTGACCGTCATTGACCTTAAACATAGAAACCGGAAATGCAAAAAACTTGTCCAAGGCATTCCGTGCCAAACACTTGCATGAAGTTTCACAAAATTCCGTTCAGTAATGAAGTCGCTTTCTATAAAAAGTAACAGTGACATTGACCTTCAACATAGAAAGCCGAACACTTGCATGAAGTTTCATGAAATTCCGTTGAGGAATGAAGTCACTAGAGTGATGGCAAAGTGTTTTCTAAAAATAGTAACAGTGACCTTCAACATAAAAACCCGACACGCAACTTGTTCAAGGCATTGCTATTTTATCAAGTTTTATGAAATGAAGTTGCTAGAGTGATGACAAAGTGTTTTCTAAAAATAGTTAAAGTGACCTTGACCTTCAATATAGAAACCCGAAACGCAAACTTGTTCAAGGTATTGTCATACTGAACACTTGTATGAAGTTTCATGAAATTCCGTTGAGGAATGAAGTAGTTAGGTCGATGACAAAGAGTGTAACATACGTACATTCGCACATTCGTTGGGAGGGGATAATATTGAGCAGAATCGGTGTATACTTTAGTAGTTCAAGGCTCTCCCTCATTTCTGATTTGTTGTCCCGGTCCATTTTTTAATGGATTTTCTTTTGTTCAAAATTACACTTTCACCATATCTGACGTGCATTTGTATGATGCCAATGCTCAGGTCAAGTTTGAAGTTGGAATAATCATGTGCATTTTAATGAGGTAATTTTATGATCACTTTCCTGTTTTATTGGTCTGTATAGTTTCTTGGGGTGAAGGCCTACTAAGTTAAATGCATTACCTTGCCTTACACTCAACACCAATACGTTCGAAAGAGTTAAAAATTCAAACAACATCTTCTCGAAAACTATAACACCTAGAGCAATGATAATTGACCCAAGATAATATTTGCCATGGTGAAAGGCTTCCAGCTTATTCAAAAGCTATCGTCTTCAGATGTGCTGAAACTTGGCTTAAAACAATTCAATGTTGCTTGTATCCTGCATTGGTGAAGAGCAATCACATTTTTCAAATAAATACCCCTGACAAGCAAATCTTAAGCCAGCTTCTTTTGGACCACTATGCCAAAATAATGACATTTGGCCTGCAGCTTGCTTGGATAAAGAGCTATCAAATGCGTTCAAATTGATGACTTTGGGATACATTCACTGTCACGGCAGATGTATTGAAAATGATTTCTGCAAATATTTTGCCAACACCTTTAATATCTGATAAGCTAAACAGGCATCTCAGAACGATTGCTTCATATAAAACGTCATCGATGATTACCATTATCCACGAAATCCAAAGTTTTCAGTCTCGATACTCGTACCTTTCTGCATTCCTGGAACATGTTAAGACAAAATCAAATCAAGTAGACAAGTATGATCACGGTCTTTGACGAAAATCAAAGGAATCGTGCGACACTGCAACGGTAAAATTGACAGGCTGTGAAGTTGGGAGTAGCTCAGTTGTACTCTTCAAATGACAGCTAGGTATTGGCAGGTTTTATACCTGAAACCAATGAAATAGCTGATTGTGAACCTTTGATTTTGTCATGACATTTTCCGGGGTGTTGAGAAGATACTTGTATCGAGACCGGATTTCCGAAGATGGATTATAATTACTGTGTTATTAAGTGAATACACCCATGACTCATTACATTACAGCCTGTTCATACACATACAGAAAATTTACGACATTATATCATATACTGTGCGTGTACTGTGTATAATGACACTGTAATGCATTGCGACATTGTAGCGTCATCAAATGGTTTAAGCATTCAGATTGTCTATGGATACCAACTTAAATCAGTTCAATATTTACATATTTACCATTATATGGCATTGCCACTATATAACTATAACCTGACATTCAGATTGCATTCATGTAGGCTATGAATGCCATTTAGCCGATTCGGTTTACGTCAACCTTATTAGGACGTCATAATTGTTAGGTTGGATACCGCTGACCCTCCCAGGACTGACAGCTGTTCCATTCTACGATAAATATATTATTTGAACTAAATGCTGAATTATACAAAGTGTAATTGAAATGACGTCACATCCTTTTCGCCCGTGTAATATTTTTACATATGTCACTAGTGTAATATACCCTGGAGCGTTTTCCATTGGCTGTGCCAGTCAGAAATCGATTGTGATGTCATAATATGGACAATGACGTGACGTCTTAAATTGTGAATGGCGCAACAAAATGCAATATGCCTGTCTCCGTTTGATTAAGCCCTCTACATTTTGGCTTTAAAACCTGTCAAAATGTAAGTTTTCTGAGTTATGTGATAAAAAGTATCTTAAATTTGTTTTCATTTCATATGAGCTTTTATGAAACTCGTCTCGAAGTTTTAATGTTTGCTCGCCAAGACTCGCAAAAATGAAAACTCATAAGACTCGTTTCATAAAATCTCATATGAAATGAAAACTTATTTAAGATCCTATTTATGACATCTCAATTGAGACAATAGAAATAGTGAAAATAACTTAATTTTAGAAAATATGAAATGAAGTATACCAGTGTGTTCGGAATTTTTTTTTTCTCCTTGTGTATCCCCCCCCCCCCCCCCCCCCACTTCAATATGTATTTATTTTTGTCTATGACTTGAAAGTATAATGATCGAATGCATATGGCTCACCGAGAATGCGATTCACACCAAATCTTGGAATGTAAAAAAAATAAGAAAATCTCAATTTACAGTCAGAATTTTAAACACCTTTGCATACACACGATATATTGCTATCTACATAAATCGTTTTACGTATAAAGGCATTTGTTATGTCAATTTGTTCCGCAATCCACCCTGTTCATGAGTATACGCGTACGTGTATGGTAATTTTACCACGGACTTAGAATCGAATTCCGTGATTTCACACTGCAGTGGTTTTCCCAAAAATTCTTTCAGTCCAAAATCTTACTAAAATAGTAAATAGACATAACTTGTATGATACTAACATAACAATACGTGTTGAGTTTGTCTTATAATGATATAGAGTATTGGAATCATGGATAGCTGCTACATCCAGTTTTAGGTTTTCAATATATAGTTGAGATACATGCAGGTACGTACGTAGTTGTTTTAAAATTTTGGTGAGATCACAAGAGTTGCCTCCCATGTATCACGTTTTTCAGTAAAGAGGAAGTAATGCACTTACCGCGGGAAATTAAACTTCGTACATAACATGTACAGCGATAGATGTCGATCTTCATTCCTGTAATCTGCGATATTTAAGGAGATCTTTGGATACGACAGAAGCGACTGATAAGGATACAGTGAGTATGAATGGTTTGCAAATATTTGAAATGCCATCCACAGAATCGTATATTTCTCAAAAGGGGGCGTGACACATACAGCTAGGCATACATATGTACCGTCACTCACTCGAGCTCACTGTTGTAGTGACGAATCGTTTTCATAGCAGTGCACAGTATGCATGTTCCTGTAATGCACCTGTTATTATGCCTAGTTAAAATTGTTTGAAATAATTAAAAAGAAATATTATTGCTTAATTTCACATAAACTTAAAAGTCTTTAAGGAAACACGACAGGACGCAAAAATGGGTATCGATCCCGTTTCATCAATCCACAGGGGCTTGTAGATTTAAGTGTTATATGATAAAATTAGCTAGAAATTTAGGTATTTCTAGCTAATTTTATCATATAAGTTTATACAAGCCCCTGTGGTCAATCATTAGATGGAGGAAAGTTATGCCAGAGACATGTTAAATACAAATGTACATTTTGTACATACGTCTCTGGGCATATGACGGGAAAATGTATATATAAGCCCATATATAATGATGGTAATACAATATAATGTCAGTAAAAATTTGATTTTCTTCCAGCCTTTCGAAGTTTCCTAGTGATGTCCCTTACAACTCCCCAGTTGGTACAAAAGCTGCCCCCTTCATGGTGGGGTCTGTTTGGTGCCATGAGGCTGGACCATCACCATGACAATGCTGCTGCGATTTGGTACCAGACTGAGGCAAACTCTGAATATGGTGGTCACCCAGACTGGGATGAGCTACTGGCAGGTCTGTTGGTCAAGGAGCCAGTTTGTGAAGGAGCTGACCTGATCTTGTAAGTTTTCTCTTTTGGCAGAGCTACAGAGATTGCCCCTTATATATAGTTATCCAGGGAATAACCATTTTAACTTCTCCCAAAAAAATTCTGACAAAGTTGCAGAATGGTTAAATGTGTGTGTACGGATATGATTGCTGAACCACAGGACATGGTTGTAATAGGTAAATTTATTTTAGATGGACAGGGGATTTCATATTTAGAGTACTAGCCAGCTGGGCAGTTTTGAAAAATTCCACTAGACCGACCAACATTTATTGATACTCATAGAAAATATGGCAAATATTCGTTAGCCAAAACATATGGATGTAAAAGGTGCGCTTTCTAGCCATGGCATAATAGGTTAGTGGAATTGTACAACAATATACAGAGCTGCGCATATGTGCATGGTTCACCATTGGTATCATAGAACAACAGCTACAGTTTGGATCAAACTTAACTTGGTATCTGGTGCACTTAATTGTAGTGAACGAGGAGGTGCACTAGACAAAACATTGAAGTGCACTCCTGTTCACTTCAGTGTTAACTCCAGTTCACAACAATGTTGAATTAACTCCAGTAAACTATGATGTAACTCCAGTGCACTACAGTGTTTATCAAAGTTAAAAGTACATATTTCAATGATTGTTTATAATGAAATGGGTTCCTTCATGATATGTAAATTGAAAGAGAAAGGAAAAAAATATTTAACTGAATATTTCATAATATTTATACACATATTTTTTTCTGGCTACCAAACATATACAATGTGATATGGGTAAATAAGGTAAGTTTTCCTATAATTTTATACTTTTTATGAAAGGTTTCTCAATAATTATAACACGACATCAATAGAGTAATTCGCTTCTTTGTTTTAAAAAATGGCCAATGGCTTCATCGATAGTTCGATCTTATATACAGTACTAACACATATGCTTTTTCTAGCATTTAACAAACAATCTAAGATATATCTATATTCCATGTATGTACTGGTAAATAACAACAAAAAATGAGTAAGATGTCCCTTAATCTATTTGTAGTAAGCCAAGATTTGTACAGCTACCCAGTGACATACAATGTCATTTTCTTCGATTTGTTTTACAACATCGAGGAGAGATCCCACCGAGTGGATTGTCAGACTTTGTTGAGGATGTTCAGTGTTACTATGGGGCTTCAGAATCATGGCAAAGCGTTCTACTGAAGACATTAGCCGCTTACAATAAGGTAAGAGAAAGTTCTTCAAAAACCAAACTCATTTACATGTACATGTAGGTCAGTATCAGTGTTTAGCCACTTGCAATAAGGTAAAAATTGTAAGCTCAAAAGAAAAGAAATAGCCTGAAATGATAGGTAAATATCAGTTTTTATCCGCTTACAATAAGATAAAAAATAAATGCTCATAGAGAAAGTAATAACAATTGTACCTGAAGTTATAGGTATATGTAAAATATCAAGGTGGATCATGGATGGTCGGGTGGTGCAGTGGATAGCGCACTTGCCTTTCCCCAAGGCGACCGGGGTTCGATTCCCCGATCGGATTTGAAAAGGTTGGGGTCACCCTCGCCCTAACATCAGGGCCAACAAGAGTGATTAATATAAGTTGAAATAACTTGTTTCATAATTGTTGTTAAATAAATAAAGTTTATATTTAAAAGGTGGATCATTAAAAACTCTATTGGGTTTTAAAATATAGTTACAAAGGTTTACATGTCTAATACATATTAACTGGAACAATAACATTTAAAATCCATTGAATGATTTTACTTTCTGTGTCATCATAACATCATTTGACTATAACATTTATATAGTCATTGATGAACCGTGCAGATAAATGTGTATTTTCAAAAATACGGGCAGATTCCTGCTCTAGTACACCCGGATTCCGTGTCTTCACTTCGTACAGGTATAATCCATCTTCACTTTCTGTAGCTAAAAAGTCAGGAGAGTGATGATCAACTGTCCGAAACCTGCTACACATTTACAAGCAGGAATCAAAATCTAGCTACATCGTTATGCGACAGGCTGAAAAAATCAACAGAACAGTGTTCCTGGAAAAAAATTCCAGTGAAGAAATTACCAGGTAAGGCCGTACTTCATATCTTAGAGTCATGTACTGTAGTCATGAGTAAAACTTTCTGCCAATCTCTCCTATTTCATGTAAGATGTGATGTAAATATTGTAATAAATTGATTCTCAAGTTCGTTACCTATCAATGATTTGAAACAAACCTGTCTTTGTATTTCAGAAAGTCATGATATTTCTGAAATAGATAGAATACCCCAGAATATGGAAACTTGTGATGACCATCATCAGAGAGACCCACCCCACTCACCTGGTGAGGCAGACCCACCCCACTCACCTGGTGAGGCAGACCCACCCCACTCACCAGGTGAGGCATCAACTCCCACTTTCCCAGGTGTCAAGACAATACAACATATGGACAATGCTTTTCCAGCAGGTGTGATTACCATCCTTAGTGACGATGACGATGACACAGCTGAGGTGATGATGGAAGTTACAGAACCATGCTCTACTGTGACTAAAGAGGGGGATTCACAGACAGGTGAGAGAGAACTACTGCTGTAGTACCGTAGAAGTATTTAGTAAAATAATTTGGATTTATTCAAACTGCAGAGACATTGTTCATGCATTTTTGATGACAAAATATATCATGAAAATTTTTCAATGGATAAAGTGCACTTTTGCTTTCAATGAAAATGTTTAACTGGAGTGGCGCTCATGCTTTTGGTGTTGTATATAATTAGTTAGGATGGACTGAAGTTTAAACCACAGGTTAGCCAATCACATCTTACATGTAGCTAATAGATGAGTTAAGACATTTTTCACATTATCATCGTTATGTTGAAGCGGACGATAGAATCCATATGATATATTTGCACTCCATGGCCATAGCCATGGGTCACCGTTTACAGGTCACATCTTACTAAGTACTATGCCATTTGCAATTGCCACCTTCTGTGTGAGTACCCCTTGGGATAGTGGAATGTCACATGCTGATATTGGATATTATGCCATGCTATATAAAGAGCTACGTCCCTTTGCTCATTTTTGATGCAAAAGTTTGTCTAGAAGTAGGGGATAATGGATTTCTTGCAATATTCTGCCTTATTTAGTTGCTACTGAATAAACATTTAATAGGAGTTTAACTAGGGATTATAATTAATATTGAAACTGGTGAATTGTTAGCTGCAAGAATTTGTTCAAATGCACTGAGTAAGTTTGTAGAACATATATATTACGTTATTTAGGTAGAGATAGAAATTGAGCACTTGTACTATCTCTGAGACTGTAAAATGGTTTTGTTTAATATTGTGGACACTGGACATTGTTTACAAGAAGAGTAAGGAACCTTAAAACAAGTTACAAATGCTTCTGTCCATGCTGTGAATGGTCATATTTATGATATGATAAAGGTGACGTTACAGATGTATATCAACTCTACCATAAAATATAAATCTGAAAACAATAATTTGATACCAGCAATTTTCAGGCAAAGAATGGTTCCTCCCTATCAGCAAGAGCTCATGACAATCTATACACTCATTCTGTAAAATGGATTTCCGTAACAGTGCCATGGCCTTGGTAATTGTACTTGTTGATTGGTATATAATTATGCAGACTTTAATTTTGCAAAATGTTTATACAGGCAAGGTAGAAGTTTAAAAGGTGACACCATACCCGAGTAAAAATGTTTTACAATGATGTGACTTGTAACTACAGTCATGTGACACTCAAAATAGAAATATGATTAATAATTTAACATCATTTTGTTTGTAGATGCCAGTATGAAAGCGGAACTAACTTGTAAGGACAAAGACATTGATCCTGTGCTACTGGTAAGGATAAAAAATTCATTTAATATTGAGGTTCAACATTTGTGTGTTTTAATACATATTATTGTTTCTAAACAATGCTATAATTATATGTATGATGTTTATATGACAAATGGTGTGGAAACAGCTTCCAGTGTGTTGAGTGATATGTGTTTGGAAAGGAATTCAACAGCTATGCGTAATTGTATGAAATAGAGTTACTGCTTTTCCTTACATACTTATATAAAATTATTGGGGAGGCACTTTCTGTAACACTTAATGCCCCCAATTCCTTTCTTTCCCCTACCCTAGCTACAAATTCTCAAAAATAAAATTTAAAAAAACAGCAATATGTATTTCATTTTTAAAATGCCTCACTGCTTCTCCATATATTCCTTCTGGAAAAGCCCATGTCTGTTTGTCTGTTACCCCTGTATTATTGTAGACTTTACTGTTACACTCATTGGCTTAATGACATAAGATATAACTGTAACATGGTAAGTTTGATTACTTTCTTTTTCTTTACTCCAACTGTTACCAAATAAGGTAGGGGGCTTATGTCTGTCTATCCGTCTGTCTGTCGGGCACATTCACTGCGGCATATACTCACTATTAATACTAAAGTTAACCACATCTTTATGATCTAGAAATTAAAAACTGTTTACATTTGTTATCCTTGTTATGTATTTTTGTTTTAAGGGTAAAGGTGAGAAGCTAAAAGAGAGCTGGCAGAGTGGATCTGAGACACCACCAGAGATTGATCTTTTCCTAATAGCTACACCTGATCAGGTAAATGTGACTTTTGTATATAGTAGAGTGGCAACAAAAGCCGCAACAAAGATGCTTTTATTTGAAAGTTTTCCAGGGTAAGTCCAGATGAGCATTTTACTCAATGACAGGTGCCACATGTGGTAAATGAAATACTTACCCTTCCGAAGCACTTGGTTTTGCCTCCAGTTTTTATTGTGCATCTTGATGCCTATTTGATATTTTTTTGTTGTGGTCAGTTCGTATGAACTTTGATTTAATTTTATTTCTTATAATTGTTTTGACTGGTTTTTTTTCTGTTTGCAAATAACTGATCCTACATAAGTATAAAATTGCAAAATTTGTAGTTTGGGTGGTGAAGAATTAGAGTAGAACACATAAAATTGAATTTCTGTGCATTTCATTTTCAGATAAAATCGGTAGCTCTTGCATTGAACTTTTGCTCCTTGACCGATAGTGAAGTTTTGTCGGCATGCCAAAGTCTGACCTCTTTGGCCAGTATCCTTAGCGAAGCTGCAAGTGTCCAGTTCATGAGAAGTGTAGTCCATCCTAAGGTACATATGCCATTAATGATCCTGAAAAATCATGTTAAACTTATAGGTTCTTTTGGAAACTTCAATATGTGAACTAAATTTTGATTTGAAATAAACATTATTATAATCCCAATATTTGGTACTTTTCAGATTGCTGATTTGAAACATAGTGCATCTCGTCAACTCTTGGGAGTTATCTCCCTTTCTGCAGAACGCTTTCCAAGAGGTTTGATAGAGGGAGTGTTTGTCAAGTGTGTGGAGCAAGGCCTAGGTATTGGATACTTTCTATAAACTTTTATTTCATTTTAGAAATGAAGTCGAATGTTTAAATCACCCTTTAAAGATGTTGGAATTTCTTTTATTTACTGGAAACGAGTCAGAATGTTTTGATATGATGGTGAAAGAAATGTCATTGCTCTCTGTATTTTCGTCCTAGGTTCAGCCCAGACTGATGTATTCTGTAAAGTCATCAAGACAGATCTTCAAGATTCAGCACGTGCACAGATGATAAAGTATGCCATTCATGATCAAATAAGACTTTACATTTTTCTGTACACGCCAACCACTACTATCAGCTGTACATTATGTCAGACATACATTTTCAATATGAACATTTTTGTTTCATTTTAATTTGCCTGAGTGGCTTGTATTTAAATGTTACATAATGGCATAAAGTACTGTTTACTTCATCGAAATTGAGACCAGCTCCTAGACGTATATTTACGACACTACAGTAATCACTTTGTATCTCTGTGCATTCATCCTCACATTGCTTTACATAGGATACCTCGAATTCTGATGACCTGATTGACTTGAAATCACAACCAGATTTGGCATTGAAGATACCACTAACAATCCGTTCAGTTTTACAGAAGGTATTTCCCTAATAGCAATAGTCTTGCAACTGAAAAATATTGCCCAAAGTCACTTCTTATAGTCACTGAAAAAATATCCACCAATTTCCCTAGTAAGTATTCCCATCAATGTCACCAGAATATTTGTTAAAATTTGCGTCCACTTCAAAAATTCTTGAGGATCATGTGTGTGTATGGGTTATGTCTGTTGTAGAAAGATGATAGAATGTACCAAACGTCTGGACGAGCATGTTGTCTGCATTTATCAAACTCTCATAGATACAAAGGTAAGAGACATTTATATATTTACAGAAAGATTCAAATTGTTTGGTGTTGACAGCTTCATATACATTACTAGAGATGGGAGCTCTTCAGGTTTTAACCACCGCTAAACTTTTAATACCTTCAGATTTGAAAACATATCTTCATGTAAGGTACACAATGCGGTGTTCTGCTTAATTACAGTCAGCAAAAATAAGATCCCAGGAATAAGAGCATCAACAATGGTTAAATAGAATAATGAAAACAGTAATTTAATATGGTCTGTGTAAGTATGATAATCAATTCAAAAGGGTGTCCATTCTTCTTCAGTATAATAAAGAATATAGTTGAATTGTTCAAATGTGCTCACCATTTCTCTTTTAAGGATTTCACCTACAGTATGTCTATGAAAATGAAACTAAATGCATATGATTTGCACTGTATTTCGTATTTAACTAGTATTTACGTCACATAGTCCTCTTTAATGAAACGATAAACAACACTTTGTCAATTAGATTATCAGCTTTTTCCCCGTCTTATAACATAACTATACAACATCACTACATTGTATACCCAGTTTGTTGTTAATTGTCACTGTAAGTGTGCAATTAATACAAAAAGACGAATAACTTGCATACATGATATTAGAAATTACAGTCTGAATAAAGTTCAAGGTCCATTCAATACACTCTGTCAATAATGTCAGGAATCACATGTATAATGTTATTAGTTTGACCTTTCCATTACAATCCTTTGTAGTATCCCCCCTTAGCAAAAACTCATTTTTGCAATTGTGCTATCCATGATGTAAACGCTGCTCGATAGTCTCCCCACGGTATGCTAGCAAAACACTGGGAGATTGCACTACCAAGAGCACTCATAGAGGCATATTGTTTCCCAGAGACATTTTCACATTTTCTATAGAAAAGGAAGCAGGAAGAAGTCACAGGGACTTTGATCTTGTCTACCTTCTCTTGCTTAAAAAACCCCAATTAAAATATTGCTTTTGTGGGATAAAGCAATTGTCATGACTTAAGTGGACCCTTTACTTAGACACTTTTTTTTCATCTAAAATCTTTTAGGCTTCAGTACTTGGTCTCTGTGTAAAACTTGGCAGTGATACTTTTCCCTTCCCTGCACAGTATCTGAACCACAGGCCCACTAGAATTGAAAAAAAAATGTCATACAGAACTTTCTAGGCAGTTTTTATGTCTTTGCTTTGCTTCTAATCTCTTTCCGTCCGTCGTGCGTAAACTTTACATTTGAAGAACCAGTGGATTTTATTTTATTTAAACTTGGTCAGAATCATCCTTGGTAGATGAGGCTACAAAATTGTAAAATTGGGATTCCTACCCCAACCACTAGGGCCAGGGTGGGGCCCCAAAGGGAAAATTAACCAATATTCAAAAATCTTCTCCTCCAGACTCAGAGGTACTACATTCATTTTCTCTGCATGGAAAGAAAATCATCAGGGGCTTTATTTAAATTGTAATTCGTTCTNGGGGGGGGCAAAATTGATTTCACTTAGTTTACATGCTGATTTCCACATCACATCTAAACAATAAAATAAAGCTACCAGCCAGTACCTATGATATAACTCAGGTGACTTCTAAGGTCCTTGGGCCTCTTGTAATTTTTGCGCCTCTGGGGTTTTAAATAATATGCTCAGATGTCATCCCCTGTAAGTAAATCAGATAACTTTCTGGAGTTGAAATTACTGTACCTTCAATACATTTCAAACGTTTGGCCATTTGTTCAGATGTCAGCAAATGGGGAATCCATCGGGCACAAAGCTTCTATAATTTCAAGCATTTGGTCACTATGTGATATGTTTAATGCCAACCATATGAGCTGTCTCAGAAACATTATAACGACCATCGTCCTTAATCATTTCTTTCACAGCAGCAATGCTCTTTGATGCTGCAACAACTGGCCGGCTGTTCTCCTTAACTTTCAACTTTATCATTCTTGAATTTGTTCACCCACCTGAAAACTGTTCTCAATGTGATGGCAGAGGTGCCTTTTATATGCTGCATAACTCTGCAAGTATCTTGTTTGGCTGTATAGGAGCGTATTTCAGATTAAGTCACAACCTTCTATTTAGCATTAAAAAGAAGTCACTAGTCACGAGTGCTTACCATTCAAAAATGAATAACTTGTTCAATTTTTTTTGGGTAATGTCGAAAGTTGGCATGCGTTTTGTGTGTTTTGTTCTTTTAATGCTTTTGTAGCCTGCAAAGGCACCAAACTGTTTTATTGCCTGTTCGTACGTGATCAGTGTGGTGACAGAATTTATTAAACGGCCCTCGTACGCGAATACGAGTTGTACGCCTTTAACGTTTGTGTTATTGAAAGGAACAAGTTAATATCCCATTTATTTACATTCTACACTTTAAACAGTACAAGTTTTAGATAAAAGGTAACATCAAATCACAGTAACATTTCACGTACATTAATGATCTAACACTGTGGATAGCCGATGAAAGTCTGCATTTCTTTACCGTAGATATGTTTGGAAAGCGTTGCTCTGTCGATCGCAACCTATGTAATTATTGCCTTCAAGTTGTTTATACATTTCAGTTGCTAATACCATTTGTTATTCTTACGTCCTGGCAAATGAATCCCATTTATGTATCCATCAACTTCATATATATGTAGGGGACGCTGAACTCACTATTGAGCAGACGTTGAACCTCGCATTCCCCCTTTTTCTCTAGAGGACGTTGGCTATCACACACGCCGTTTTGTTCGCTTTATGTAATGAAGATAAACTGCATCCTTAAAGGAAACGTCCGAACCAACTGTGTTTACCGAATGGTTTTACATGACCCACATTGGAAGTGAACTTCAAATTTTCTCGTATTTCGATCCTCTTTATCCATAAACAAGCGAGGAAACGACTGAACAAACTGATAATCTACCGATTTGGTAAATAATTTGAACTAGAAAACAACTTATTCCAGAATAAACACGGAATTAGTTTTACTGGCGTGTATTTATATACACTAACTGATCGCGGAATAGTGATACAGCAGATAACACAAGACTCCAGTACACAATACACACTCTTACAGTCATACAATGGACATCTAATTAACAGTTTTAACATACTGATGTTAGACTACAGATCTTATGAAGACATCCAATACCATGGTTAACACGGACATTCCCCTACTAAACATTCGCTTACTTGTAAACTCTGATAACAGTAGAGAACACCAACCTGCATAAATTGATCAATTGAACATAGATTCTCGGACATTCTTGGTATTCAAATTCCCTATTAGGACTTAATTATCTCAACCTGAAGATCAACATAAAATGTACGGACATACAACAGAGACGTATAATGTGTTAAATACGTCTCTGCATGAAATGATAAAAAAATACTTAACCGATTGAAAAATTATCTGTTTTATTCCGATGTGAAGCATAGACGTGCACTCGAGTTTAATATCATTGTTACGTACACTATATGACATAACTATATGATGACGTCATTAACTATTATGATTATTCCCATTTTGTTGGTGAAAGGCAGCTGGTAGGGTAACGCATTTTGACCTAACACTCATTTTAAATCTGAGATTTTTCATGATGCTGACCCACATACAGTACTAGTGGGTCGATACATGTAAAGAGTGGATACAAGTTGCTGATACACTTAAGGTGATGACGTCGTGGTCATATCTTTTCGATTGCTTATTGTACCGTTTGGATGGACTTTAATTATTAATATGCATATCGCAGCATGACTCTTGAATATCCAAACGGTGTGTCCCGTCCAAGACCCAATGTAAGGTTTATAGCACGGACATTTAAAATAGGTGTCCGGGCTATATAACATCAAATGATGCTGACGTAGTATACATCATCTGCTCAAAGATTCCTATTTGTTTACAATGTACATGACGTGTACTTGGAAGTGCTTATTAAAATAAATGTCACAAATGAAACCTTGTGTGATTGGTGACATTACATTTTCAGGTGGAACTATCTGAAAGCATGCTTAAAGATATGGTGGTTACATTCCACACCAATTCTTGTGGGCTGGAAAAGAATCTCAAGTATGGCAAACTATTACTGGCTGTTGTCAACAAATACGGACACAAGGTACATGCTTTTTCTCATGGATGCTCGAGCTAAACCCACAATAATCGTAGAATAATCATATCAACTTAAGTATTTACCAATATAAATATACAGATAGGGCTTGTAGTTGTTTTGCTTTATGTTGAAATTTCTAATGGACAAGTTATAAAATTGAAAAAGAAATTTAAAAAAAATGGGATAATATGATTGGAGTACTTTGAAGTGTCGTTGACCGATGTCTTGATCAATGCAAAGATGTAATGAGCCCACTAGTATACTTATATTATAAAACCTAGCTGACATAAAGAGAAGCACCAAATACATCCGTCTCTTGGATACTTTTTAATAGGTTGGGTCATTTAGTGTTACAAATATGTTTCTACCGTAGAGTAGATATTGCACATCATGGTTTGAAACTATTGGCCACCAAGATAATAAACTGACGTTCATATTTTACCAGATTTGTCTAGATAAACTTGCATACTCAGTTTCTCCATTTTTTCCAGTTCACCATCGAAATCCTTGAAGTTATGGAGAAGGAAGTACAGAAGAACGAAACGTTCCTGAGAAAGGCCTTACGTGCAGCACTGAACAAAATAAGAAAATGAATAAAAAACCCATAATAGATACATTTAAAAAAAAAATGGTTTGTGAAATGTTTTGTAGTATTTATGTCCAGTTACGGTTACGATACCAAACATAGATGCTTATCAAATACCATGAAAGGTTTCTTATGGCTGATAAAAACAGCGGGATATAATACACAGATGTAGTTCCATGCTTGGTAGCTAACTTAACAAGCTTTGCACTTGTCGTTGGTGGTTTTTCTCCGGGAACTCCGGCTTTCCTCCACCACCAAATCCTGACACGACCGTAAGTGACCACAGCCGTAAATAGGACGTAAAACACAAACAAAGAAACTATTTGCAGTTAAAATATGAGAACTTCATTTAGAAATACATGTAGCTATCACACACATCAATAAGATCTTTGAAGTGGAGGAAGCCTCATCCATGTACTGATACTTTAAGATGCTTCATATGTACTGATATATTGGGAAGTTTTCGATGCATTTAAATTGTTCACATGCTGTAATAAAGGTGAAATTATTATTACAAAGCATAAGTAACCAGCATAATACGCGTAGAACAATATGTAATTAATTGTGAAGGCGAAATTACCGCTTTATGATTCTTTTTAATCCATAAAAACGGTCTTTAGAATTGACAAGGGTGTGATTGCAATATGCATTTGTGTTACCATATTGCCTCGGATAGACGCTGTTTTAATTATTACAGTAGTCAAAATAAGAGATAAATATTTTTAAGGATGTAACGTAAAGCCAGAAAAAAGTCCGTTTTCGTTGGTTCATCTGTTATATAGAAGGACGAACGCTAACGATTATAACTGAGGTGACGTATTTTATCATATTTTCTTACAATTTCGATAGCATTTCCGTGAGATATTATTAATATCAGTAATCCGATTATAATTCTCATGACACAACTTGAATGGTAATTATGGGCATTCATTTGCTCTTACAATCCTTCAATGTGGTACCTTTCAATTAAGTTAATCTTTCATAATCTCTACATTCACAAGTGCTCGATTTTAATCATGATATATTTAATCGCTTTATTGTCGGAATTAGTAAAGCTCTCATATAGGACAGGGGTTGATTGTGTAATTTGTAAATTGAGCCGTAAAGCAACAGACAAAATAGCAAAGCACCTCCATCTTTATTCAGCAGTAGGGATAAGCTTTAAGAGCATGTTGTAAATACGCTAAAGGTTATTGATTACGTTACATTTGATTTGTTGAAAGAAGACGATCAGTACCTGTTTCTCTAAGGTAGTAGAATGGTGATGGAAATAGATGATGATGAATGGGAAAACTGCATCATCGGAGTTGCACGCTGTGTCTAGCACATACTTTCTGAAGTTAACATTTTTCTTGGAAAGTGAATCTCCATTTCTGAGAGGTCAGTTGTACTGACCAATGTAGTATGTAAATAATCTGCAGTGTTGATAACATAACAATATGATATTTATATACCATGTTTTCTATAATTGAAGCGAGTTAATTATTGTAACAGTTCACTCATGTAAGACGTAATCTCTATATGGAGGAAATAAAGAATCTGTCTGATATGTCTGCAAGTATAGATTTGTTGACAAGTGCAACCTAATTTGAAATGTGTCTTTGAGTCATACAGAATTCCATAGCGAAAATTTACTTAGTAAAATAATGACATGTGCAGGTTTCTGAAATGTTATGCAAATTATCGCGTTAATTATGAATAGCTTGTTGCACGAGGACATTTTATATATATTTTATACTGTTGTATGTTGTGGACGGATGTCAGCAGTACTCATCAAATTACATGACCGACATATCTGACCTGGCGGAATTTTATTAACACGTGTTCGGTAGTGGTTTCTTGACACACATATATAGCTTGATGGTAGCAGTGTCTTATGCTATTATCCTTTCATAAGTACACGATTTGACACCTGTTGAAGATCACACAACATATTTTTATTGTTATAAACGCAAAAGTTCAGTTTCATTATAAGCAAAATATTATGAAAGTAAATGACAACAATCTATCCTTTAGCGTACACTTAATGTCTATTCGTATCACCCCATCCGGACACAGAATTGATATGGTACATTTGTGCGAATGTAACTGCAAACATTTCTTGTCAAATACTTAATATTTATGTTACATTGCATTTGCCATCCTCGAACATACAGGGGTTACGTTCACTAACAGTATCTGCACATCTAGGATATGACATGGTAACATTTGATTGCACGGGTTTATTGTACATCAAAGGATGAAAAAAGGGTCTGCTCGTGTCATCCACAAAGTAAACACATGCAGTGCCTTCGGTTTCTCAGGGGTGCCGGGAACGTGAGTGAACCCATAGTATTTTGAGGGTGACTAAGGACAAGCATTGGTACTATTGATGGGAATTTATCTCGATATTTGTAAAAAAAAAACATATTTTGTCATCGTTAATAAATCCGCTGGCAGAACAAGAAACTATTGATTTTTAAATATCCTTATTGTACATAAATTGGATACTTACGAATTCAGCTGTATAAAAAGTCAAAAAAATTAGCAAGGAAGTCTGGAAATTATTCATCAACTTCATATTATATATTAAAGAAATAATCTAGCACAAATAACATTTGGATGTAATGTAATTAAATAATGTCTCTCCGAAAATAGATGCCATACAGCATCATTTGTTATTATTATGCATGTGATGTAAAACGTCTTAAAGAAATTTTACAAATTATATAGGATGCTATAGAAATTTGTATTTTACAATAATGGAGACTGCTGATTTTCATTGTCGCCTCTTTGTTCAAAACGTGTCTACGATATGGAAGTTTAGTGAGGTAGCACTCTAAAGTCGGTATCAAATCCGCACTATCGCCAGGAGGCAACTACTCCCCACATGCCACCTAAGGTAAACATGCATGAATACATTACGAACTGTGAGGCACGCCCTTAAATGACTTCGGCTATTAATAGGACGCCAAACCAAATAAAACCAATCCCTCGGTTCCTGTTTTTTCTTTGTAGTTGTTTTTTTTGCCTGACAAATCAACATTTCAGAATCGGTGCTGGAAATGCCACCACTTGTGTATACTCAACATGGTAAAACACGTGACTAAAACCCGTGTAGAAAACGTATCCATATAACATGCATTTAGTCTGACGTATCTCCTTGACCTCGGGCAATGTGACATTGGGATGTAAGTGGGATGGGGCAAATTGTCCTATCATAAATATGGAAATCGCTCAGCTTGACGGTCTGTCTGATATTTATGTAATGAGATTGTACCAAGCAGTCTGGATTCATCTGAGCTACAAAGACGACAATGAAGGAGGTGATTAACATAATTGTCACAAGATGACAATAGTAAATCAGATGGAAAAGGGTTTCATAATTATTTGTACATGTGTCTTGCACTACAATACCAAGAGTATATCACGTTTAAAATATTACATATTACCTCACACAGAAAATCGTGATATCAGAGAGAAAAGAATAGGCGTCATTTCATATTGAGCCCGCGTGCCGCCGAGTCCAAACTGGCGAAATTGGCTTATATACCAAACAAGAAACATTTGATTAAGGTAATGTTTAGTAAACATGTATTTAAAATTTCATCAGCGTTGCTTGAGAGGTTAGAATGATAAAAAAAGATTATTAGAGGATTGTTTGGTTTATTTTTCGGATTTCGTCAACATATATTTCAGCTCTGAGATTTCAGTGAAGATAATTAACGATCTTCATACTTTTCTTGGATTTATCGAAAGAAATTAAGGGTGCACATAAACACCTGGTTTCATGATGTCTTTTCCCTTTGTTTATAGTGTTTCGTCGATTTCTTGCCTTTCGTCCTTGTAATATATTGAATATGCGATATATGATTCTAGTTAATTTGCGAACTGTGTGAGAGGTTTGAATGAATGCGTCATTAGATATGCTAATAAATCTGTATGGAAATCGTATGCCTGTCTCACCGATCATAGCTGTCGACTGTCCCAGGTAATTTATTAAAGGAAATGATGAAAAATCGTAGGGTCTAGATTGTTCTACATTTTGCGAAATAATCTGACATTAATTCAGATTATACTTCAGCAGTATGTATTTATTAATACGAGTCTGTGATAAACATCATTAATGTCATGTACATAAACTTTGATGCTGGTGATGTTGTCTCGAGGTTACGTCTCACCCGACGCGTCGTTAAGGCTTGAGTCGATACGGGCGTCGGAGCTCTACCGTTAGGTGGCACTCGTGTCACTCCTAACGCTCCCTCTGTAGCCACGGTTCGGTTAAAAGTCAGCCAAGATTAATACACATTTTACTCTCTGTCTTGCCTTATCAAATTTATCTAGAGTTAACCACAATTGTAAAGCTGACCATTTTGAATATTAATAGTTAACTAACCATATCTTAACATTATACACTGACCATAATGAATAAAACCTATGTTTATTACTTAACCACGAGTCATTTAGAGCAAATGGACATATCAAGGGTATCTTAACTCTGTATTTCCGGTTTTCTCATGGTTCTGATTTGTATAGAATCACTTCGTATATTTACCTTATGTCGCCCTTGTATGGATCTGATATGCATAGCATTACTATGTATATTTACCTAATGTCGCCCTTGTATAGATCTGATATGAATAGAATTACTATGTATATTTACCTAATGTCGCCCTTGTATGGATCTGATTTGTATAGAATCACTTTGTATATTTACCTAATGTCGCCCTTGTATGGATCTGATATGTATAGAATTACTTCGTATATTTACATAATGTCGCCCTTGTATGGATCTGATTTGTATAGAATCACTTTGTATATTTACCTAATGTCGCCCTTGTATAGATCTGAAATGAATAGAATTACTATGTATATTTACCTAATGTCGCCCTTGTATGGATCTGATATGTATAGAAATACTTCGTATATTTACCCAATGCCGCCCTTGTATAGATCTGATATGAATAGAATTACTATGTATATTTACATAATGTCGCCCTTGTATGGATCTGATTTGTATAGAATTACTTCGTATATTTACCTTATGTCGCCCTTGTATGGATCTGATATGAATAGAATTACTATGTATATTTACCTAATGTCGCCCTTGTATGGTTTTGATATGTATATAATTACTATGTATATTTACCTAATGTCGCCCT